CTGCCAGGTAGGTATTTTCTTGCAGATCAGACATGATTATCTACCGTTTACACCGGTGCTAGAAAACCCTCATGTAAGACAAGTCGCGTGCTTAAAATGACGTCATTAATGCGCGCCTTTTGTTCTTATGATGACGTCACTTAGCCGTTAATGAAGTTGTACGTTCATACGCGACTGTAAGAAAAAAGTGCGTAATGAGAATATCAGTTTTCGGAATTTCTGTTCTGGAAATAATTGATATGTTATATGCAAGAAAAAGAACCAAACACCGGCTGTCAGGTACAGACGGGAATATCTAGCTCTCGGGTAACTGTTTAGCGGAAACTCGGCAGAGTCTCGTTACTGCCGTAAACAGTCACCCTCGAGCTAGATATTCCGGTCTGTACCGGCAGCCAGTGTAAGATTCATATAGTATAAACAGGTATGATAAAATGCATTTTGTAAATAAGAACTACTTTTCATCCTAGCAGGACACATCATTAACGAACTGAAGGTAAAGCGTAGATAAATGGAAAGTTCTCTTGCCTTAGGATAGTGACTTTCTACTGGCGGTGTTCGAAATGTGGCAAAAGGAATGTTACTCTTTGTCATGGAACGCATCAAGTACCTGTAAATCCCAGTCAAACTGCAGACCCGCCTTGATCATACTAGGCCTTTGTATAATTCCAGTATAGTAGAGGTTTCATGTCCCAGTCTGTTCCAGACACAATCTCAAATGAGCTTTAAGCCCCAATACATTAAGTCTTATGATCTCTTTAAATTTGGAATAAAGGAAAATCTTCTATTAAATACATATCCATGAAACTAGAACTAGACATACAAAGGCCCAGTGCCACCACGATATCTGCACCACTGAAAGAAATGAATACACTAAGCTCTTAGACAAATGTTAAATTCTCTCGTTTATTATATGATAATGAAACAGTCAAATAATAAATAGTGATAGTATAAGTAAGCAAAGATGAGATTATTTATTATAGGTATGTGCCAAATATTTGTTTTTAAATTTATGTAAGTTTTTATTTGTTTGTTTGTTTGTTTGTTTCATTTTACGCCTTTTCCCAACAGTATTTCAGTCATATAGGCGGGTAGTTTCCTAACCATCGTTCCTGGAGAGTTACACCAGTACTAGACTACCTTCCTCCGCGCTAATGTAACTTTGTTAGGTAATGTATATAGATGTATATATATATAACATAAAAATTCTGAATAAATACGACTTCAACGACGATGACTACTGCTAGAACTACAAGAGTAGCTATGCAGGTACAAATTCGGTACTTGTGAATGCAAGAATACGACCTTGTCCTATCTTTAAATCACCATTTTACCTGACTGGTGAAATACATTTTTAGCGATAAAAAATCCAGAATCAATCATTCATACGTATGCAATATGTAGGTCGTATGTTTTTGTATAAAATTTGTTTTTCAATATCTTTATATATCATTCCATGTTAAGCTGGTTTTATATTTCTTTGCATAACATCTTTTGACACAACAACAATGCAAAACTACGAAGACACGTGAAAATAAAACTTGGTCGTGATTTTGCATTTTTGGCATCTCCTTTTTTATGCATCGTTACATTTTCATTTTTTTTTTTTTTTTGCATTATTCAAAATACCGTAAGTTTTAAAAAAGAAGAGATATTTTACACAGAGATATTTATCATTTAGGGTTACGCAAGTCCTTTATTGACCCAGTGTGTCTTCCAATGAAAATATTACCGGCCTTCAAACTAGACCGGTCGAAGAGAAGATGCTGCCATTATACGCAAAATGTATTTTCGAGAGACTGTCGATGATGACAGAAACGCTCTGAAAGTGGTTAACACTTTGACTAATAGTAAAGATCACACTGTTTTAAATTCTTTATTGCTTCTGTACTTTGATGGATAATCGCTTAAGAGGAAATCTTAATATCCATACCATAACCACTAAGAATATTTCAAAACATTTATTTTCAAATAACTCATTAAGATAATAAAAGTATAGCATGAAGGCTTTGTCTTAGATGGTAAGGTCTTCCCTTATAACAAAAGGAAGTTGTGTTCAAACAAATCATATTAAAATTAAAAACTTTATATCTAAGAATGGTTCAGTCTGAAGAGGAGAGAATGTCATTCACCTAACATAGAAAGATACGATATAACTATGCCATATGCATAAAATATTATCATTTAAAAAGAAAAAAAATTCAAACAAATAAAAATTTGGCGCAAACACACAAAAATGACAATCAATTAATACATTATCAACCTTAAAGTGCATAAAGCTGTAGTTTATAAAATTATTGTCTGAATTTTGAAAAAGAATCATTTCAGAATACCTGTATAAAAGAAATATTCCTGTCTTTCTTTTAGAGCGGATGATCATACACTAAAATTTCACTACAACCTTTTATTCACAGAACATACACTAGTCAGTGTGTTAGATAATAGAATCTACCATAAGATTATTGAAACAACATATTTTTACCATTTATTAATTAATACATATAATAAAAATATCATTAGATATAGCTTTTTACCCTTTAAATTATGCTCAAAGGAAAGCTGAGTTGTTCGCTAGGAAACCGCCATTTTGACATTTTCATTGTTGGGTTTGGTGCCCTCTGGGTGCCCTACTTGGGTGTGTCGGGGTGGGGCTGCGTCCTGTGAACGTTGCCTTTGTCCTGTTGATCTCATTCTTGTATTTGGTTTTAATTAAAACCGACAAAATGCATGTTTTTTACTAAATAGAGGAGTTATTCTACGGAGATCTTTTTTGCGTCTACTTCGTCCTTAGTCGAATTGGGACTTACGTTTTAGAACTTAAATGTTACAACTTTTGTCTTAGGCGCGGAGTACGCTAGGTCTTTTTGGGATTATCAGTCAGTGTTGTATCGATAAGGTAAGATCAAAACGTGAGAATTTACAAAGCATTATATCATAATTTGGGGACCTTTCTGTTGAAAATGTGTCGTATGAACATACATCCACAATGTGTTAACTGAAGTGCAGGCAATAGTTACCCGCACCCCAGAGCATGTCCATAGATCGGCGTATTTTTCCGGGAGTTTACTTATTGTTACGGTAGTGAAAGGGAAAGCTATATAATATCATATTCAGATGCTCGATCACTGTTTATCTGGGGTTTCAAATTGTGACAACAGGGCACGTGTTTTTATGTTTGACTATGATACAAAAGAAAGAGTACATCAAAACACTTGGCAATCTGATTAATACTCGGGGACTTTGCCCCTCGTACAGATAACCTCGTGTTTCGGTATTCTTTCTATTACTTATACAAAAGATGTTATTATAAGATAACTCTCTATGAATATAATTATTGACATCTCGTCTCTCATTAATATATACATCTTTATCAAAATAATGGTTAAAATTATACACTTACCATGCACTGAGCAGCTAACATTAACACACACGTTTTTTTTATTGTACTACAATGACTTTTACAAATATACAGTTTGCTTTAGAAAAAATTACATTCTGTCTTAATTTACACGAAAAGACCATAGATTATTTTGATAATATCCCACGTTGAAAAAATGTAGATTCAACAGCACTCTCAGCCCATCATCTCCTGAAACGGTCCTGCTCGAAAGTATTTAAATTATGGCACAATTATACTGCAAGATACATTTATCCATTAATATAAAAAAAAATAATGTAATGAACTATTGCGATGGCCTTTTGTTTACATTTTGCAGCTACTGTCTAATGTTGTATAGCTTAAGAATAATATACTTATAGTCAGGATGTTTGTCTTTTTTTGTGAAATATGCATATTATTACATGGTGATTTTTTTTAATTTCATACTTTATTTCGAATTTGATTTTTTGGTCATTTTCATCAATTTATTAAAAACATTTTCTTTCACTGGTAGCCTTGAATTTTAACTTGTTTACCTTGTAGAAGTCTGAGCAAAACATTAATTACAAAATTAAGCATAAGTTGGCTACAAATATATTGAGTAAAAATAATAAATTATTGTTTGCTATATTAACTGTGATATATCCCTACTCTGACCTTTTATTTGAATAACAATAGATTTAACCACAAACATTGACATGTGCTCTTTTGTTAACAAATAGGTTGTGGTGAAATTGCTTTTCTTTTTTCTTCTTTTATCCACTAATCTGATGATAAGAATTAAATAGGTCAGGGATCTATGCATTGACTATAATTATAGTAAAAAAGTAAAATATGAAAAAACTAACTCCATGTTGAAATACAATTATTCCATATACCTTTTATGCCGCGCGGAGTAATTTTTAATAAAATTAGATGCTTGGCATTTAGGTTGTCTAGTGAACTTATACACGTTTTATGGATTATGCCTCTTAGCTAAAAAGAAACTGCCATCTGGGAGTTATCCCAGTACAGTTAAGGCGTGTTGCAAAAGAACAATGCCGTCGCTTAGATATTGGCATTAGCGACTTGTGGATCCATCTTCGTTATCGCCAAGTGTATATATACTATAGGAAAATATTTATAACGATTTTAATGTTCTTTTAGGATATTATTCATCGAGATTTTATTCACATATTTTTCATGACTTCAAAGCTGATGTAATTAAAATACAACAATAAACATTGTTTTATCAATAATATACAGTACCAAACATCATAAAAACTAGATAAGACATAACATCAGGCCAAACACCTATTTCTGGTATTTGCGCCGCTGATGTAATCTTGGCTTTTAGGGCTTAAACTGATAATAATATTAAATATAAATACAGGCTGTTTTCTTACATAAGCTAACCTTGCTTATTTTTCAATATGGGTTATCTTTCCCATCAACATTTCCTGTCATAAGACAATGTCGCAACACATAAATAATATGTTGCGAGACATAGTGTATCCACAAATGACACTTTCAGTCTTTTGTCTGCTATGTTTCCTCTTACAAGAGCTCTATAAATATCTTTAAACAATTAAATATTCAGTGCACATTTCCTGTTTACTGTCTCCGCGTTTCATTCAAAGAAAAGTCTTGGACTCTGGCAGTTGAAACATGGATAACACAGCGGCTTTTGTGTTTTCTGTAGTTTTAATCCTTGGTATTGGTGCTCCATGCATTTTCGTGTACAGCTTTAACACAAGAACGGAATATTTTCAAGTACTGAACAAACATCCTATGATATCAGAATGTGCCATTCAGGTGCTTGCAAAAGTAAGTTTACTCTTTTATTTTTCAATATGAATATTTCTTACAGTCAAGTAAAATCGGGAATACCAATTCAACATTGTTAACATCTATCAATTTTATTTATTTTGTTTGTTTATTTTTTAAATTTGTGAAAATATTTAGGCAAAGTTAAAGCTGCTCGCCTCGAGATGAGCAAAAATATTTCGATAAAATCAAACCTGGGAAAAATGTTTTAGGAAAGGTATAAAGATTCAAAATTCTAGTAAAATTTTGCATGTTATGTGCGATTAATGACTGAATTTTTCAGTATGTATAACTATATTACTACGGTGTTACTAACGCAGTAAGGGCTTTTTTGCATATTTTGACCTCTTTATAGTAATTTACCTAGGTTTTAAGGGCCATTGATAATGTGTAAATTGCATCCATTTGGTAACTTTACAGTAATATACTCAGGGCTGGGAATCAAAACTGCGTCGTATCCTACAAAATGTAAACAAACGCCGCAATCTTGGAGCGAAAAATGTATGTTTTTGTTTATAACTCTTTTTGTTGGAAATGACTGAAAACCAGATATATGTATTAACACGCTACACTATTTTCCGCTTCGTTCGGTATATGTTGCTTGCACAACTATTTTGTAAAACAAAAGTTATAGCGGACTTGCAACTCGAAGCGGGGGAGAATTTTATATGAAAATGTGTGGATACGACGCAGTTCATGTTGCTTTATCTATCGTTTTTTCCTTCAAATCAATTATATACTCGTTTTCAGAGTTCACCATAAACCTCAAAACATAATTTTGGATCATTTACTAAACTTTCATTAAAAAGAGATGTTTACTTTTCAAGAAAATAATGATTTTTACGAAATGATACGACGCAGTTGAAATTAAAATATGATACGACGAAGTTGTATTTTCATTGCAGGCTGCATATTGGTTAAACTATTTAAATTATGTGCTAGGTATGCTAATAACGTCCAAAAGCAGAGGTCACTCATTGATTTCCGTCAATTCCGTTATTACTTATGTCTTTTACGTGCCGATTTTATTGTATTCATTTTCTTAATAATCGGTGAGGACAGATGAGATTGATTATTTGAAACTGAACATTAAATTTTTAAAATCATATTATAAATGGTTAAGCTACAATATATTTTTGCAAGTAGGTTATGCGTTCCGTTTAGTCAGTTTATGTTCAGCGCCGAGAACTTTACCGCTGATTTTGTCGTATTACATTTCTTTATCGTCGTTGGGAAAGGTCTACGGAATGTATTTTTTATATTTGCACTTAAGTATCATTCTTCTCCATCAAAAACTTTAAATTTTCAAAATCGAGTGACATATGATACAACTACAAATTATTTTGTAAAGAAGGTGTCCGTTTTGCAAAGGTATTTTTACGCTGTGCACCGATAAATTTGATACAGATATAGGCTGGCATGATCTTTCAACAGTATTGAAGAAGTTTTCACAATATTGAACAGAAAATTTAGGTCAGATTATCGCACCGAATTTTCAACAGACTAGAGACATGACATCTTAACATACCTTCATACTAAAGTGTGATTTTTACTTGATAATGAATTGCCTGAAAACTTAAACAAAAGTTTTCAGAAAATTACTTCAAGGAGGATTACCCCCTGTTTACATTGAAAATTTCTCTGTTAGTCATACCGAAATAAGAAATTTAAATGTTATTCTCTTTATAATTAATTCAAATATTTATAATCTTAAAACTTCACACCAGAAGTTAATAAAAAAAAGCTGCTTATTTGTACAGCTGACGTTAACAAATTTTTTTGAAAAAACAAATCAGACAGGTGTGTCTGACCGAGGCCGAGCTGTTTATGTTTACTGAATTCAAATCACTTGAACTGAACTGCTATGAATTTGAAAACCACCAGGGACTTTTTATTCTTTCATGTGGAAAACCTATCAAGCTAGTTTCAAAATGTCGATGGTTCTCTGCAGGTGAAGCATTTTGCCTGAAATAATGCACAATTTCAAAGGCGCACCTGAGGTCCTCGCCCCTAGTAAAGCTAATGTGTAGAGTGAAAGTTTGAAAAGAAACCACAAAAAAGCAATCATTACCCAGAACATGCAGAACCACAGTTAACTTAGAGCGTAGCTAGCCAAAATGAATTCAAGTTAATAGATTTCTACATTTTTTTGCGAAAAAAATTAGGGATAATATTGAACATACAGGAAAATATAAGAAATTATTTCAGATATTATGATCAATTAGGTAACATGTTCATGTTTAACTGAAAAGTAGCTTCCGCAATGTAAACTTTCAAATTATATGTTATATTGGACATGACACAATGTATTCTTAATAATCAAAAGCAACAGAACATTGCTATACACCGCAAATGATCCGGGTTTTTTTTATCTAGCGCAAGTGATTAAAAATAGAAATAAATTGCCAAAATTATATCCCTAATGAAAATACTGCCAAAAATACAACTGCGTCGTATCATATTTTAATTTCAACTGCGTCGTATCATTTCGTAAAAATCATTATTTTCTTAGAAAATTAACACCTCTTTTTAAAGAAATTTTAGTAAATGATGCAAAATTATATTTCAAAGTTTATTATGAACTCGGAAACAAATATATAATTGATTTGAAGGAAAAAACGATAGATAAAGCAATATGAACTGCGTCGTATCCACACATTTTATAAAAATTCTCCCCCGCTTCGAGTTGCAAGTTCGCTATAACTTTTGTTTTACAAAATAGTTGTGCAAGCAACATATACCGAACGAAGCGGAAAATAGTGTAGCGTGTTAATACATACGTATGTCTGGTTTTCATACGTTTTTCGTTCCAAGATGGCGGCGTTTGTTTACATTTTGTAGGATACGACGCAGTTTTGATTCCCAGCCCTGTATACTGTTAAATACATTTTCAAATTTTCAAGAAAATTAAAATGAAACTGGAGGTGTGCTGCTTTAAGTCCCGAAATAAATTTAAAAAAAAGACTTAGTAAAATTTAAGGCAGGAAGGCACCTAGGCCGCCGACTTCACACATTTTAGAATAAGATATAAAACCGCTTAAGATGTTAAAAGACTGCTCAATTCTTTTTATAAATTAAACGTTCTAGATACATTCTGAAAGATATTCATCAGACACGTTGAATATTGATTATTTTGCGAAATACAATACAAAGTTAAAACAATTATGTAAAAATGTATAGCATTTTTGTCTTTATCTGTACACTCACCATTTACACTTAGATAGTCATCTTGTCACTTTAAATGTCGCATATTGCTATAGGCGGTCAAAGTGTCTTTCGAAGCGTTATTATAATCACTGCGGTGTTGTCAAGGTTGTCATCATGTAAAACATGTAGCACATTACTCAAACTATTTTAAAGGTATCAGCATGAAACTTGGAATTCTTGCTTATCATGACAAGGTAACAGGCATTATTATGAAAGTTAAATATTTTTAAAGTTATGCCCTTTTTTAACTTTTTATCAAAAGTGGTTATTTTTACAGACGAGCGTTTCACCGCAGGCGGTGCTCTTGTTATCCTTGCGATTGTGAACAAAAGTTAAAACATTTTCCTCTTTGCAATGATTTGAAAGTTTTCTTTTTCATTTTCTTTCTCTATATATAGAATGAATATGTGGGATGTCGGCTTCATAAGGAAACAGGAATATGTGAGAAGCTGCATCACTCGTCAATGGCTAATTTAACGATCGATGAAAGATACTCATATGCGATCGAAGTCCGTGCCAGAGAAGACTACAATCCAAATGTACGAGAATAAACAATATCAGCATAGGCAAGATGCTTATGTTTAGAGTATAAATCTGTAAACCAACAAAATATAAATTGTATCACCAAGGTACATGACGGTATCTAAATTGAATGAAAATTATGAAAGCTAGGACTCCTCTTTAGATTTCTAATAAAAAAAGGAAACTTTGATTAATGTTCATATCTGTTATGATACTCATGTTTGTTATCTTAAATAACCCCACTTCGAAAAAGTACAATAATTATGATTATTATAGTAAGTGATTGTCTAGTTCCTATTTTTTTGTAAAATGTTAATGGCCAAATTTTAATAATTATATGAATATAAAAACAATTTGCAAAATTCGGTTTGATTGAGTCTGTACATGAGGGATAATGAAAAAGTGCAATATCCCTCCCAAGACCGCTGGCACCGGCTTGAGCGGTACTCAGTTTTCAACACTTAAAAGTGTTGGAATTAATGATCCCGAAAACATTCTTCAGAAAAAAATACAAATATGTGTTTGATAATGTTTTACAATGAATTTTAAGCATGATTAAGATGCTTTTCACCAAAAGTAAGTATTGCTGAACTTATACTAAGTTATGACTCATAAAGGAAGGGAAACATTCAACAAAGTCATCTTTTGTCTTTCATACAAAAACTGAATCTATATAACTTAACTTCTTGCGAAAAAAGCAAAGGAAGCAAAAGATGGTTTAGTTATATGTACTTTTGTGAAATATTAAAAGATTACATAGAAAAATTTTAATTATAAAAAATGAAACAATGGGATGATTCTAGGTTAAATGTGTTTAATACTGACATAAGTGAGGTTATCTCTGTGAATGACTGTCATTAAATGTATGTGTGTCAAATACTTCCGTATTCTAATATTCCTTTGTAATTAACTTAGTTCTTCGTCGTTTTGTAATTCTTTGTAGTGTAGTTCTAACAAATCTCTTTTCTTCGTAATCAGTATTTCACAAATCAAATTGTAAATTAGTGTTGAATAAAATCTGCATTTAATAGACTAAAGTTATAATACATACTGCACGTTTGTATCGTCGTTCCTGACGTTTATATATTCTTTATACAAAGCTGCAGTCAATAAGTAAAGAAATTTCACTTCTTTCTTTAACAACGGGAGTTTGCATTATTATATAGAGGATATTTGTTTAGGTCAGTGTAAGATCGGAATATATTTCACCGAGTGAGCACCAAAAGGTATATTTCACGAGTGGCGCAGCCACGAGTGAAATATGACCTTTTGGTGTTCACAAGGTGAAATATATTTCGATCTTACACTAAACTAAACAAATTTTCTTTTTATTACATGCAAAGAAACGTTTTAAAAAGACATTAAACCTAATACTGAATAAAAAGCGCGCCAGATAATAATACAACGTGACGTCATTAACGACGTCACGTCATTAAGTTGGTACCCAGTACTGTGCACGCTGGTATTTCACTGAAACAACGTGAGGGGCTTAAATTCAAAACAGTGAAATTATCAAAGTGGTAATTTCACTGTTTGAAACAGTGAAATTACCAGTTTTATATCACTGATATATTTCTGTAAACCACTGAAAAGCATGTAATAAAAATTCGTAATTAAGATTCTTGTCAGATTATATAGCCGTATATCATTCGCATTACGGTTTGGTTCATATAAACAAACATCTGTTTATATAGGGTTGTAAAACATGTCAAAAAGCAATTATTTGATAAGTTTAACGTTTAATTTTTTATCAACAAGTTAGTTTGTACGTACAACATAGGCGAATAAACAAAGAGTCAATCATTAGAAATTGAGAATTTGAAATGTTTGTTTTCCCACGAGTCCTCTTGACAATGTTATTCTTTACAGTATTTTATTAAATGTATTAACTTTTGTGTAGGTCTACTTCTTTATAAGTACTGCATGTCTGTATATTTTTTATTTATTGATTTTTCTAAGAGAAACATAAATGATTTTTTAAAGAAATATTTTTAAAGAAATATTTTAACATGGTTTAATTGGTTTATTGGGGATGTTTTGTTTTCTTTTGGTTTTTATTCACAAATTGTATAGTCGTGCTTTTAAGGTTTTTTTACAGAAAATTCTGATGAGATTTTTATGAAAAATGCTTTAGTTTTTTTATGGACGTGAAACTATGCACTGAATAAAACGTATTAATCACATATGTCGAGAAATTGAGCAATACCTTTAAGATTATCTGAGAAAAGTCTCCATTTGAGGTAAATACACTGTATTCAAAATAATCATGTACACTTTTATTTATTTCCATTTTGTACACAATAACAGTATAGTAAACATTACTCCCTCGATAATAAAAGTGCTAAGATAAATTCACTTATAACATTCTAATAATCGTACACTAGATTAAGCAAATATTCACATTTGCAATTTCTAAACCAAATTTGACTTGATCTAGTTTAGAATGATATTCATCCATATGCAAACAGATAATTTTCCTTTTCATGCAAACCTAAAGAGTTGTAGGACCGTCAGTATTAGGTTTATAGAGTAAGCATTATTTTACATAACAAAAATTTGAATCAATAAATAGCTTCCAATAATCAACGTGTTGTTTTTTAATTCACAAATTGTACAGTCATGCTATTTACGCTTTCTTACAGTAAATTCGGATGAGCTGTTTTACAGAGTGTGTAAAGCTGTTATTGTGTATTTTGTCATTAAAAATGTTGTCCAAATAATTGATAAATATAAGTTTAGACAACATTATGGCAAAATACACGTTGGATGTTAATCAAATTATAATGTTGGCACATAGATAAAGTCAGCGTCAGCATTGTCAGATAGGAAAAAACAATAAAGAAATACAATCACAGACCACTAAAGTTAATATTCCAAATGCAGTATGGTAATCCCATATGCAAAACCGTGAGTTTCAAATACAAAACGGGACAAGTGAACTAGTTAGAGATGAAATAGTTTGGTACCTCATAAAATACTAGTACTGTATGCAAAGTCTGATACGTTCTATGTAGGCAATTTAATTTTCCCTGTACACCAAGCAAGTATGTGAAATTAATGATATTGTAAACATAAACAAGAAAAATGCTCAAAGCCTTAAAATGATTATATATTCTTATTTGCGACGTCGACAATTCACAATCGAATTCCTCAATTCTTTTCCGCTATATATCCAATGCAATGTTAAGGTACAGTTTGTCAATGAGTTAATTTCTTCAGCACTTGGGATTTTTTAAGTTCTTTGTTAGATGGTTTATAGTTGTGGTTGAATGGTATATGCAAAGATCTTACTTGTATGCTTAATCCCATTGGTCAGCACTCAACTGAGCAATTATACATATAATTTGTCTAATATTTGACACAATAAATGTAAATTATGTTGAGAAAATATGTTGCGATATAATCTTTCAAACAGAATTGAGGCATATTTATAAGCATTAAACTGTTATTTATGAATGAAATTCATAATTGTAAAGATACTTGCTATATGAAAACAGACCTTGATAATAAAAGGGGGAAATTTATGAAAGCATCCCCAACAAAAACCAGTAACACAGGCCATCGGCATAGAGCCATTCTGAAAAAAAGAGTTTTTTTACGGATTCTAAAGTTGTGAAATGAAAGTTTTTCATATATTTTCAAAGAGTTTTCTTTTAATAAATAGTAAAACATTCAACATACAGAGATAAAAATGATATAGAGTGTAGACAACGATACTTTACAATATAAGTTATAAGAATATACATATTTAATTTCAATACATAAAAAGCACTATCAATTATCCCAAAACCTGACTTTACACACAAAAAACGAATTAAAAGCAAAACAGAATTGACTTGTTATTTAAAAAAAAATTATTTATACAATGCCCAGAAACATTTATTACATTAGCTTTGCATATACAATATCAAGGTTATTTAGAGGATGATACACAATGACATAATTTGTTTTGATAATAAATAAAAGTTTCATTTAACCATCAGCATGAAACGTGTCATGTAAATAACACACCGAAACCAACTGTGGCGCAAAATGGTGCCAAACCCACTTGCTTTTCTTATTTCTAGAAGCAGTTGTGTTCATTTATGTGTATATTGGAATAGAAATATTAGTATTAAAACGATAATATATCATTACCTCGCATTACCAAATACAAGTTATACAAAGTGTTGCCCACTGTTTACTTAAATGTGTTTTCAAAGCATAAAGTTAAATCATTTATATTTTGACAAAAAAGGTAAAGAAAATATTAATAAAGTCATACAAATGCATTATTAAGAATTTTGAAAATGATATTTTGTAATTCATAACATTTGAATAACTAGCATAAACCTTAATCAACATGTACTAAACAAAGAATATTTTTTTTAAAAAATATGTACATCATGTGACACGAGAAAACTTAAACACATAACTTCTGACACATCTAATAAACTAGCATTAAATTGATGACAAAATAATAAAACACAACACTCAAATTCATAAATAATCATAGTCATTCGACTATGAATTTATTAACGACTAAGACGAATGTTAGTTTTCACGACGTCTGAAGGAAAACAGCGATTTCCTGATGAGATTTGCAACAATGATAACATCATCAGCGCAATCATTTATATCTTCACACATCACTGGTACACGAAGAATCTTCACTGCTCTTATCTGAATATTAAATGATTTTTAGAATTACTTATTTTTTATATATGAGCCGCGTCATGACAAAACCAACAAAATGGGTTTGCAACCAGCATAGATCCAGACCAGCCTGCGCATCCGCGCAGTCTGATCTGGATCCATGATGTTCTCTATCAGTTTCTCTACTTGTAAAAGAGTAGTTAAGCGAACAGCATGGATCCTTATCAGACTGCGCGGATGCGCAGGCTGGTCTGGATCCATGCTGGTCACAAACCCATTATGTTGGTATTTGTCATGACGCGGCTCATATTTTTATTTTTATTACTTATCAAACATTTTGTACCTATAGATCTTTTCCTATTTTTTTGTTCTCTTGATATCAATAGAGAGTAAGAGGTCGTAATAACTAAATAAGAATGTTTCAAATTAAGTAAAAGAAATACGTACATTGTATGTTTATACCATAATTTAGTATATATTTAAAACAATTTTAATTAATTTCAAGGCAAAACTCAAAAAAAAGAGTTTTCATTTAAGGCAAAATATCTTTTTTTAAAGAATAAATCTATTAAATACAACTGAGCAAAAATTCATTGTAAAGCTTGATGATACTTGACTACGGATGAAATCTTTTAAATAAGTAATAGAAAGAGCACCGAAACACGAGGCTATCTGATTTGTACGAGGGGGCGTAGCCCCCGAGTATTAATCAGATTGCCGAGTGTTTTGGTGTTCTTTCTATTTTGTATCATAGTCAAACATGACAGCACGTTCCCTGTTGTCATAATATGAAACCCCGGAAAAAAATAACCAATGAATGAGCATCTGAATATGATAGTTCTGCCCCTTTCTCTTTCTCTGCTGTCACAATATGTAAACCCCGGCAAAAATGAACCAATCCACGGGCATTATCTGGAGTGCGGGTAATTGATACCTGCACTCCAGTTACCGCACTGTGCATGTATATGTATACGATTTAACTCTGACACTTTTTCTACAGAAAGGTCCCCAAACTATGATACAATTCAAGAAAAACTATTGTTGTGGGTTTTCAGACGGTAAACAAAAAAAATCTACATGCCTTTATAATTTTGGGGATGACCTATATGAAGACAGTGAGACATACTTATAACGAATTTCTATAGAATATTGCTCCGTTATATCAGAAATTCGTTTTATTATAAGGAATTGGATATAACGTATTTCGTCATGGCCATTGATGCAACGGTATATTTAAAACATAATGATAATTTACTTTTGAAAGATGGCAAGTGAAATCAATAATTACGATATTTCTTAAAAAAGTACACAATGATAAATAAAACGTGAACATTGTTTTATTATTTTAATTTTGTTAATCTGTTCAAGAAAATATTTATTTGTTTCATAAAAGTAACTGATTTAAGTTTGATTGACTGTCACAGCCCCAGCGATAGCGATAAATAAATAAATAAATGATCTATAAATATATTTTATGCTGTTTTGAGGTATACCTACCTTTCCATCATTACCGACTTTAAACAAAACGTCATCACATGTAAGCGTCTTTAGAACCAACTCATTTTCATGTAGAAGCTTTACAAAACTACAGACTTGGTGTAGTATGCATGTATACTGTTTAACAGTAAATGCATGATCTTTCTCGAAAACAGACAGGGACGACATCTTCTTGTTATATAATCCTCCAGATATAAAAGGGTGCATCAAAAGCATCGACTTTCCAGTTTCTAAAATATAAGATTAGAACGAAATAAACTAGATATGAAATAAATAAGAAAAATATAAATTTACATTTTTGACGCACAAAATGTTATCACCTTCATATCAAACATGACTGTGTAAAAACATATATACTTGCAACTAACAAATAGATGTACTTGCTAACTAAACACAACACTGTAAAACGTTTAAATAATTCTATATACAGGTATTCCTTGAATAGTTGCATTATATTATGTATCAATAATAATTACAGAAATACTGTATGAAAAGTGCAAGCGATTGACAAATACATTTTATTACATGAAGTTCTTAAGCCCAAAGTTAATTACAACATTCATCTCAAACTAATTTTCCTCTAGAGTAACATATCAAATGATATATTTTCCAAAAATAAAAACTATAAAATTAAAATCAATTATAAACAAACCATATTAGTTGAGGACAACGAAACCTAGCAACAATAAAATCTAATGGTATGTCAAAAATATTTTTTATGCTGTCTTTAAGAATTGTTACCTTTCGCATTTTCCGACTTTGTCTGCTCCTCAATGTTTGGACTGAATTTCTGTTTAATGCAAAATCAAAAAGATATATATGTATGTGACACGCAATATTTGCAATCCAGTTTTTACTACGCTTCACGCATATTAGAACAAAACAGAACAAACAAGCAAGTATTGCAAGCAATATAAATGCCACCTACCGGTTATATTCCAACAAAAAGTATATCATTTACATCCCTAATAAATGGGTCCGAACGAATTGTTATTTTAATAGTATTTTAAGTCTAGTTGTTGTAATAGCATCAAAAAAGGAAAACAAGACCACCGCATGAGGTATTAACGGTCATCTATAAAGGGCAACCACTATCAATAACAAGTTTTCAAAATATTATAACTTTTATAGGGGCATAACTTCTGAAATATTGGTTTTAGGATAATGTTCATTGTCTTACAAATTTATTTTACTGTATGCAGAAGACATGCTCCGATATGTGTCGCTTTTAAAATCGTGTATGTGAACAATAGGACCGCAATCCTATAACTTTATAAACAACCATAGTAATAAGCTAGGTCCCCGTGCTCACAAAAAGAGCAGAAGGAAGATCAAATGAGCCCGTTTTCATTTACATTGTTTTATGAAACTAATATTGGTCATAAAATACTAAAACTGTATGGTACAATTGGTAAAAATATTGCTCATTTGTAAAAAAACAAAACAAAAAAACAAGCAATTATCATAGTATTGCAAGCAATCCATAAGTCCCCTACCGGTTAGAACCCCAGCAACATTCTGAAGGGCCATTGGCCATTCACTTATGTTTCTATTTTAAGTAAATTTGTTGAAAAAGTTCTTTAAAAGTGATCACAGGAAACAGTTTTTATGTACAGACAGACAGACGGACTGAAAGACACTCTAAAGTTATTTTTTAAACATCTCTGTTATCAAAATATAACATTTTTAAAAGCAAAATTTTTAAAAACGAGATAACTCTTGAAATAAAGATGCAAGATGTCATACATGATGTGAGTGTAACAAAGAACAATTAGTAATGAAGGTATGAATAATGAATGTTTATTTTGAATTTGAAGTTAATGAAAGTTAAAAGAACGAATAGGAAAGATTAAAAGTTTAAGGAGGAAATAATTCTGGAAATATGGATGCTAGATTTATAAACCTTGTCATATTATTACGATGTGGAAGTTTGAAGAAAATCCTATCATGAATTAAGAAGTTGGAGCAAAAATTAACAATTTCTCAAAAAAAAGTCTAAGTTCAAAAGGGGCATAATTCTGGAAATAGTCTTGCTAGAGTATTGAACTTTCTCGCATATGTTGAGTGATAATAAGAAACATTTATATGAAGTTTGAAGTAGATACATTCAGAAAAAAAAGAAGTTATTAAAAAAAACAATATTTTTTTCATGAAAATTTTAAGTTCAAGGGAGGTAATTCTGATAAATTTTGTGCTAGAGTTGTAAATCTTGTCACATATGATGTGGTTGATGACTAGCAACTTATATTAAAAGTTTCAAGAAAATACCTTAAGAAATAAAGAACTTATAGTGAAAAAACTTAAACTAGACTCAGAAATCTTGAAATTCAGTCTATTTGTTGCCATAGCATCCAGAATTTTCAGCACAGGAAAAAAAGAAAAAGACGTGCATAATCTCCATACTGCCATCTATCCATATATCAAGTTTCATAAAAATATTTTCAGTACTTTTTGCGTTATCGCGGGATCCAGGTTATGTGTAAAATTTGCCATTTTTTCAGTCTATTTGTTGCCAAAGCAACCAGAATTTTCAACATAGGAAGAAAAGAAAAAGACGTGCATCATCTCCATACTGCCATCTATCCATATATCAAGTTTCATTAAAATATTTTCAGTACTTTTTGCGTTATCGCGGGATCAAGTTTTGTGGTCGGACGGACTGACGGACGGACAGACGGACGGACTGACGGACGGACAGACGGACGGAGGGTAAACCTAAAGTCCCCTCCAGTAAACCGGTAGGGGACTAATAACATTTTTTGGGGGGATAACAATATGAAATACAAAAATAATGGATACATTTTTTTTGGATTCATATTTCTATCAACTGTTAAACGCGCATATTTATTTATTGTTTAGTTTTTTCTAAGAGTTCAACATTATGCTATTTCAAGTCCACTTGTATTAAGCTTATATTGAAAATTTAACCTTTTAAAGTAAGAGAATAAACAAAGATTTGTAATTTTGAACCTTATCATGATCCTGATCTTTAACTCTTAGTGAACACGCGTCAGGTTCTTCAGAATGTTATTACAATTTAACAACTCTAATAAGCTTGTGACACTTGGTCTTACATTATAGAAATTTCAAAATAGTTACCATATAATGTATGGCTATGCCAATAAGCATTCTTTCTTTTATTTCCAAAAACTTGTTTTACTTACTGACTTTCCTAAAACAGCCGATAACGTGTACATAAATGGATTCAGTGCAGAGTTTATCGGTAATATCAAAACTGCTGTCCAGGCGTAAACTTCACCAGGTATGATGTATCCATTCATAGATAGAATACCTAAATTGTTTTAAGTATATTAAAATAAGAAAAGGCAAAAATGATATACAGTTACTGCAAATTTTAACTGATGGTACGAGGGGTGTTCAAATATGAATGCAACTGGGTAAATTTTCAGAAGTGCTTAACAAACAGTGCCAAAATAATTATCTCATCCTTTAAATTTCTCACAACCACATGAAATACAAAGTTTTAGTATTTTTCATCCAATTATTAAATGCGTTTTTATAATCTGTTGGAGGTATACTGTTCACACACTTGGAAATAGCCCAACCGAGATTTTTTCGCGTTTGATATTTTCTTCCAGCAAGGTGTTTTTTTAGCCTCGGAAATAGAACAAGGTACAAGGAACAAAATCTGACGAATAAGGAGGATGAGGCAGCTTAACAACCTTTTCCTGTGTCAGATATTCTCGTACAACGGGTCGACGGGTTTGAAAATATTTCCTTAATTTATGAAGGACATTGCCTTTGTAAAACTTGGCATTACAGATTTACCATTGAATAGCAGGACCTTGATTAGTAAAGAAAATTACATGCATGAAATTTTTGACGCTCATGGTGCGCTTTGCTATGCAAAATCTTTGACATCCTTTGCTTGTCCATATTTTGTTATGTATCTTTCGCACGGGCTCATTGAAGTGAACCCATGTCTCATCGTCAGTGATGGTATTTGCGAAAGATCGATTGTTGTATTTAGGGAAATGTTTTAACAATTCTTTTGAGATTCTTACCCGAGCAAGTTTTTGCTCTTTTGTAAGACTGTATGAAGATATTTTGTATATTTTATTGGTGCAAAATTAAATAGCTTACCCATGACACCAATCGGGAACCAGCACAAAAAGTCAGTAGTCACAACAAGCAGTAGGTTCCTGGCTACTGTTAAGTCGTATTTTCTTGAAACATTCATGGACTTCTGGGCTGTTCTTGTTTTCTTTATTTCTGCAAAGATGAAAAGCTGACCGGCTGCAATAAGTACAAAAGTGACAAAGTTGAGGCCGATGAAAATTACAACGGAATATAACCATCCTGGAGGTCTGTCACGTGTCAAAGGCAATGCGAGGCAAACACCAGATTTGCTGTAAAAGCTCCCTTCAAAGAAGTCGCTGTACAGGATTGGGAAGAGTGCAATGACCAAGGCAAGTACCCATCCGGCCAAGCTGGTAGCTACGGCTGATTTTGTTGTAAATCGTACCTGTCCAAAAGGGTACCTAATGACAAGAATTCTGTCAATTGTAATCAGACACATAAAAAAGACGCTTGTCTCCGAGGATGTGGTTGACAGTATGCCAGCAATCTTACATGTAGTGCCGTTTCGCCATTCTTCATCGACTTCAATATATCTGGAAAAGAGAATTACACCTCTTTATATCACAATATCATGAAAATGTAGTGTTATTTTGTGAGATAAATCTATACGACCTACAGTTTTTGTATTGTTATAATGTAACTCACTGAACAGAATGCGTGTACTTTTACAGCTTTAAAGTGAAAATTAATGGTCTACAATTGGCTCATTTTCCGTAAGTAATTTGAATATTGAAAATGCTATAGGAAGGTATTATTTGAATATTTTTTATAAAATATTGCTTGAGAGAAAAATGTTTATAAATTTTTATGTGATATTGTATGCGCATTTTAATGCTGAATAATAATATAAAGTTCTAGGACACTTTATCGTCTGCTATATAAGTAATTTCGGATCCTGTATATCAATCTCACACTTACCAACAACATCTGACCAGTACAGGTGTAATTCTTTTGTGGTTTGTTGTTACATGTGATACTTATTTCTATCAACGTAATTATTTATTACATTTCATACTTTCAATTGTAGACCAGTTAGGGTTGTTTAAGTTACAAAGTTTTAAAATCTTTTTTCAAAAAAAAACATCAAGTAAATATATATCAATATTTTGTAGAATCAGTTAATTATTAAATAAATTGTTTTATAAATACCTTTCTCGGAACCAGTAATCTGCTATTGCGATAATTAACATGTATATGCCCATCAACAGATCAGCAACAGCAAGGTTTGTAACAAATATACCATACCCGAGTTTAAATCGTTTCCTGTCATAAACTAAACGATATATCAAGGACATGACGTTTCCTGACAGTGCCATGACACCAATTACCCATAACAGTACTCGTAAAACTGTTTTTCGCATTAGATCCTCACATGAAGAAAATTCATCTCTATGGGGTAGACATTGTTCCTCACTTAAGCCAAGTGGCCTTACACAGCAAAACTTGAACGCTGGGGTTATGATTTTTTCAACCCCTGTTACACCTGTGAATAATCCTTTACTAAATTCTTTAATTGGATTATTCTGTATGTTGATAGAATAACAATTCATTCCATTAAATGATTCGTCTTCGATATACCGAATTCGGTTATTTGATAAGTCAAGTCTTGACAGATTTAATCCAGAAAACGTATCTTTATCTAATACTTCAATACTTGCCATTTTGAGATTGAGAAACTCTACTTTCAGACCATTGAAAGCACCTGCTTCTAGTGTACGGAGCTGGCTATTTCCATGTAAATACAATATTTTGAGTTTCCGTAAATTTATAAAAGTATCTTTTAGGAATGTTTCAAACAAATTATGACTTATGTCTAGCGATACTACGTTGGCATGGCACTCAAGTTGTTTCCTATTAAGTGCTTTAAGATGACAAACTGAAGCGTTTATTTCACGTAGGTTGAAAATATACAGTCTACATAATAATGGTAAATCCATCACATATTGACACAGTTTAACTGTATTACTTACATCAAGGATTCGTAAGGGTGATTGCAGGTGTTCATAACTTAATTTTGATTCAACGCCAGAACAGTTTATTACAGCTAAACTACATGTGCATCCAGTAGGACATTTTATTTCACATTTTTCTTCGTCATCATCGTACGGACAATGTTTCTTTCCATCACACACTTGGTTCATTGGAATACACACTCTGCTCATACTGCAACGGTACATTCCTTCGCAATCGGTGTTACCAGCTGTTAAAATAGAAGGTGATCTAAAATAGCTGCATCAATGAAATAATACTTAAAAATGATTTCCATCAGATGAGTAAAGACTTCCTTTTTAATTTGAAAATTGTAGAAAAAAAACAGTTTATGTGTTAAATATAACGCAAAGTGACGAAGTCACATGTTTTCCATTAATTTGTTTATAGACCTAGGAAAACGTAACCAATGAATTTGCAGCGTTTGCAAAATATGACCCCCCCCCCCCCAATTTAGAATTGTTTTCATTTTCCAAAACATTCCAAAACATTCATATCAAATCAAAATTGTAATAAATCTAGCCTCGGTTTTATTTGTCGAGTCCAGAAAATCAATATCAAATAAATATTGTACTCCGTCTAGTCTAGACTTCATCAACGAGTGGAAAAATCCTTATCAATACATATTGTTCTTAATTAACAAAGTTTTGTCGAAATGTTAAACTGATTTGTGTTTAAAGAAACGGCTATGCTGAATGCATAACAAAGAACTTGTCCAATATAGTTTTGCAGCTGTGTAATTCATTAATATTCTCAACATTGAGCACTAAACTCATGATATAAACATATAAAAAGACAACCAATCATATCTATGTCTAGATTTTAATTACACCTTACGTTTACATATTTCCGGAAACAATGCTGAGCCTATTGTACCGAGTAATCCAGGTTGATTAATGCGAATATTGGTCAGAGTAGCTGATTTCTTCACAGTCACCATTTCCTTCATGCCTTCGTCAATTGTCACAAAATATTGATGAACATTTTCTAATTTGAAAGGTGGTTTCTCACTAAAGTATGGGAGAAGGTGCGTTTTGATGTTGTCGGAAATCCAAATGATACCGTTGGTCTCTTTCAAATTATCTTTCCACACACTGTCAAACATATAAGAAGGGTTTTCAAATTTCGTTCTCATGTAACTATTTGATTTTATATCAAAACTTATGGATAATGGTTGCTGAAACTCTCCGGCATAATTACCAAATTCATCAAAATCAACAAAATTTACTTCTGCAACTATCCTTACTGTAGAGTTTGCTGTATAGAGCGAACCTCCTAATAAAGACTGTATGTCAATATATTTGGTTTGAAAAACGTCACCCTCTTGTTCATATATAATAAGAATATTCCTTGTTTCGGCATTGCTGCATGCTGTAATTAAAGAAATTAAATTTTTGGGGAGATAAACAAATGGTTTTTAGTAAAATACTGTAAAGAATTTATTCTAACAACCCATTTAAGAAGCAAAAGTTCTTAGAGGATTTCACAACAAATCACAACAAATACAAGATAAAAATTAGCAATATTAAGAAACTAGAGATGATTTTAATGAAATAAATTCTAATTTACAAACTAGAAAAAAACACATATAGTGTGGTGTACATATATGAAACTATTTATATCATCAGAGTGCTAGCAAACGACATGGTTTTTAGTTTATATTGCGGCATATTAAAATGTGTTTCTTTAAAAAAGGAACAATATTGCCAGAAGGACGGCTTCAATTCTTCCGTGATGCTATCTCTTTTTTAACATTAAAATTACTTACAAGCAATGTGATATCTGGGTTTGGACTAAATAAATCTTTAAACTATTTACCACAGTTACTTTCATCGGCTCCATCACCACAATCAACATAACCATTACATACAAGCATATACGGAATACAGTAACTGTCAGGGCATTTATAGTAATATTTAGGACAATTGAAATCTCCTGCAATGAAAACAATAACCTTATGTACAAGTGACTATGGTGTATAAATCAAAATTAAATGTTTTGAAGAACCCAGACAAACCTAGCCATGTGATATTTATTTTAAAATAAATCATTTTTTATTACTTTATGTTACTTTGATATTCTGATATTTTTACTTCTTAAACCTTTCAAAGAATATTTAATTCCATTATATCAACTATTTCGTCTGTTATCTAAAAATCTATAAATATTATATATTCCGAGTAATTTTAATTTTTCACGCCAATATCACAAGTTAAGGTTAAGATGAAAATACACACATACCACAATTTTGTAAATGATTTAAGGAACGACATCCAGTTACTCTTCCTCTTGAATCTTTATTGTACAAACATCTGCTATTAGCACTTACAGTGTTGACACCACTTCGACAGAAAATTCCTGTATCTGTATTTTTTACCTCTTTTAAGATATATATTTAATTGAGTTAGAATTGAATTTACTTTGACATTGTCAGACAATACAGTTTTAAATTTCAAAAGAGATAAAATGATTTATTTTGTTGTGATAAATGCCCTGTTTCCAGATTTGTTTCTTCGTGTATTTCCCTATCATCAAATGTATGAAGATAATATACTTATGAAACTTTTACAAACATTGAAATCGTAAGTGTATAGATCACTAAATATTATTTCTTACCTTTTTTGCAAATAACATTACCGATATGTAATCTGTTTTGGTAATCATTGTTAGTAAAACTTTCTGTGGTTTGTAAAAGAAATGAGTCATAAATTTCCCCATCTGACACCATTTCTAGTTTAAAAGACGTGTTAAAAGACCTGAAAAGAAAATTAAAAAATAAAAAGAAATGACATGTTTATACAAAACGACTGTCAGTTCATATTTTGTTCAAAATGCGACGTGGTTTAAAATAAAACACCTCCGTTATTTTTGATGTGCTAGTTATTCTGAAAGCTTCAAGAAAATGAAAGAAAAAGAAAACAAGGAAAATCATATCGCAGGCATACGTTTCAAACTTTGACAAATTCAACGATATAAATGTCATTTATAGTGAAACACTCATAATTTTACGTCCTAAGTAAATAAAGACTACGACTTTGTTCAATGTACCTGAATATGTTATGTTTTTACTCTTTTTGAGATGTTTATATCAGATCAATGTAAGTGATAAATATAATTATATCAATTAAGTTTAGTGTTTTAAATGTCAGTAATAAGTTTGGTATATTCTCATAACTCAAACATACCCATTAGTCTCGTCACTGCCAGAGTGCAGGTCAAATTCCCAGTCATAGGTGTGATAAGTCATATTTTCCAAATCCATTACTTTCATTTGTTCCAGTCGGGGAACTTCTGAAAACTGAAAGGAATACAACAGTTAAACTATTTGGCACATTTAGATCTTTCATCAAACATAAGTCAATGATTTTTGTTGAAAACATTAAAAAAGTATTTTTGTATGGCTTCTGAGCCTGTTTTACTATGTTAATGAAATCATTTATTGATAGAACGGAGTATTATTCTGATATAAATATAATTTAGATAAAAAAGAAATATTATTTCATTCTTAATATTACAGAAGATGTTTTTCATGTCGAAAATAAATGAGCGTACCTGAAATAAAAAGAAAACAAACAAAAATGTAACAAAAACATAATAAAAGGTGTTTGTAGTCAATATCGATCTTTATCAATAAAGTCTTTGTATATTGTGCCACAAGTGTACAAACTGAATCTTTTCTAATAAATGTAACTATTTTCTTCTTTAAACATTTCTTACTAATCATTTACCTTCTGTTTGCATTTGTATCCGGCATTTAGCGCTTCTTTGATACCCGGTGTAGTTATCTTATATAATGTAGTTGATATTTGCTTCCAGTCAGAATTCATGAATGACATTGTAATCATCTTATCGGTGTGTATATTGTTAAAGTCACAGTAAACGTATATCTGATTCTCTAGAAAAAAAAGAAACTCACCTACTATAAAATATAAAAAACATGGAAATATTATTTATATACAAGTGGAAAAACAAGATAGGAATAATCCACGCTCATAAGTCAAACATTGATACATCATGTTCAGCTTTAAGAAATAAGGTAGAGACTAAATATCTTGCTGGCAATAACCATATTATTCTTTCATCTCTAATAACAGTTATCCCAATATTAATCATTTGACAACATAATTATTACCTCTAACCGTGTAAATATTTTCCACTCTTTTGTAAACACACACTTCACAAGTTTCACAGATCCTTCGTATGTCGAATACAGCCTGCTCGTCTCGCCAAATGAACATCCACATACGTGTACAAACCAAGCAGTTTAAGGAATCCACACGTGTCACCAAGACAACTAAGGATTTGTGTTCAATTTCCTGCACCAAACTCTATTAGAGAAGCACAACCGTATATTGTTAACACATATCTCACCGACATCTGCACCAGAACGTTTTCAACATAAAATGTTGCTCTAAAGCAATTACACACCGTAAAACAAGGCACAAACTCATCTTAAATGCTCATAGCTTCTTATTCTTATTCCTAATGTGATTATCGCGCCGAATATCCGTTTATCTCACACCCATAAGAATATAACCAATCATTCAGCCGAGCCTCCTTGCACAACGTGATGTTCCAAAAGAAATCATTTTTGGATCCAGTCTTATCTTATCAATTAAGCCTCGTTTTCATTCCAGAGTCCAAAAGGCTCATAACGAATCCATATGGTTTTATTTGCTGCCTTTTTTCATAGGGATTGACAATCCAGTTTTTTTCAATTTTGAATTTCCTTATTACAGTTGTATAAAAGTCTTAAATAACATCGACTTGATTTTGTTCATATTCAAAGATTTGGAACAGTTAACATGAGATCTAAAAATATACTTTGCTCAAATTTGATGTTTGAAAATATTGATAACTGCTACACAGCCTCTTTGTAAATATAAAATAAACATGATTTGGCTTCGTTCAACGTAGATATGTTATGTTTTAAACTCTTTACGCTATTAGTAGTCACAATATGAATATATCGTGTCATTAAGAAACTGGCAGTTATTTTTTTAAGAAAAGACCAACTACATTCGTCCTTTAATAGCGAATGCAGCTTTCAATACAAAATTTGAACACTTTTTTACTCAAATTTAAAACATTCAGTCATGATTTCATAGATTATAATTTTCTGTGATAAGGATATTTTACTCAAATATGAGTATAGTATATCTTTAACTATGTTAAACAAAAAGATTGATGAGAAATATATCATTTCTATCATATTTCTAATAACAAACATAACACATATTGATAGGTTGACACTATGCATTGCTTCTTTGGTTGTCTAATAATTGTGTTCATTACTGCAGACGACACATCTTTCAGCATATTTCTATCTGTCCCTCACATGTAGAGATATACCGACACTGTAAAGGTGAAATGGCGACTTTTTCCACCCTCAGGCTGACGATCTAAACGTTCGTTTAAGATACTACTAATTCTTACAGAAAAAAAGGAGAGAAAAAAACGTGTATATAAAAACATATGAGGAAGGACATCAGTGAGATAGGGAAAGAAACTTATATTTACCACAATCTGTTTCATCACTGCCATCGAGACAATGAACTTCGCCGTCACAAGCGTGACGTATTGGTATACACTCTCCACTTGTACATGTAAATTGCAGCGAAATGTGTTTGCATACGTGGAATTCTACAAAGAAAATTGATATCCAACAATTTGATGAACACTGTGTGTATACTTTGGTAAGTTTTAGGGAATTTTTAAATCTAAAATTTAATAGTGACACGTGATGTAAAAAAAATATTTTTCTTCATCGGGTCACAAATGAACAGTTTATTACCAAACAGTAAAATAACATCGAGACACGACGCTTAAAAAGTCTCCGAGTACAAATCAGATTGCCGAGTGCTTCTATATGTTCTTTCTCTTTTGTATTATAGGCAAAAGTAGTTTACGAGCATCTGAATATGACTCTTCTATCGTTATCCCTTTCCCTGTCATGACAATAAAGAACCTCAGAAAAAAATGTAGCCAATCAACGAGTATGCTCCAATTTAATTACCTACACACAGTGTGGTAACTGGACTGCGGGTAACTTATCCATGTACTCCAGTTAAAGCACTGTGCATGTATGGGCGGGCACATTTTCAATAGAAAAGGCTCAAAACTAATGGTAATAGCATGATAAAGAGCTCTTAAACATTTAAGAAAAGCAGACAAAAAGCACGATAAATAGAAAAATTACCACAATATTCATCCTCAGCATTGTAACAGTCATTCTTGAAATCGCAGACCCTACTTACGTGGATGCATCGACCGTCATTGCATTCGAATTCGTTTTCCAGACAACTATAGGGTTCTAAAAACCGAATGAAAAGTAACTAATGTTTACATCTGTTTAATCATGAAATGTTCCCACTCACTGTAAATTTGCTATAACATACGTGTACATCTTTTTTCCATTAAATGGCAATTTTGTTTCTGTAATGGTATCTCTGATTTTTATTGACTTAAAAGACAATGGTGTTATTTTATTATCTTAAAGGTATGTTGAACCTAAAAATGTTGAAACTTATTTTTCAATAACATTTATTTCTGGTTTGTTTCTGTTACTGATTCCAAAGCAAAAAGTTAAGCATTTATCTTATAGACATCTTTTGCATCTTTTTGCGTTTTGTAAATTAGAACATATATAATGATTTAGTATTTTGTATTGAAGTCAATATTCTTTGTTTTCATTTATGAATTTTTGACGAATTATTTTACATGCAGCGCTAATTTCTTCCAGATTACAAGCGACTCACATTTTGAAGTCAATATTACAACTTTTAAAATACACATGGTTGTCCTTTTTAAAGAATAAAAATATATCTAGGGTCTAATGTGACTTTAAATGCGTTATAAAGATGAATATAAGAGACTCAATCTCTTATATTGTCAACTTACTAGAAGTACAATTTCTTTCATCTGATGCATCTAGGCACTCGCTGACAGCATTACACAATGCCAATGCATGTACGTATTCGCCGCTTCCACATTCAAATAATGTATGCGAGTCCTGTTTAGTTCGAGTTTTATCCACTTCTTTGTATTTCGATGATATGCCTAAATATATCAATAAACATTTGGTACTTCCTGTATTGTATAAGTGCTTTATATCACGAATGTGACCTGCTTAGCGGTTCGTGTCAAATCAAATTTCAATTCTGTATAAAGTAAGTTGTGTATAGTTTTAAATGTAGAATGTATCATTAAGATGAATTCAAAGAGTATGAATTTGAATATACAAGATTCTTCATATACCATTAAAGACATTTTTAATCATTTGGAGATTGAACATTTCTTACGCAGGTGTTAGTGGGCTGGAGAGAAGCTGCAATTTTCATTGTTTTTACATAAACAGGTTCAATCAAACCAAGTCTGCGATATTCACATATACGTATATATTAATTGTTATATTGCATTTCTAGTAGTATTTACACTACTGTATAAATTAATATTGAAAGACATTGGTCACAGTTTAAAGGAGAGGCAGCCGTTTGCCAATACAACTAACACATTTTATTAACCATTGTGAATGATACTGTTTTTAGTGAAAAAAAATGGTTTAATTATTTGTCATAATATACGTGTGTATTTCCTTGCAATAGAAATCTAATGACCATTATTTGTCATAGATACCTTCAGTTGCGCGTCCAAGAACTTCCTCACAGGCAAACACTGTGAGATCACGCAAGTACGTAATTCCAGCAATTACTTTCCAAGGGTTTTCATTTTCAATCGGATATAAGTACATTATTACATTCTGCATCTTTTCAATTTTAGAAGGTTCATTTCCGTCCCTTAAAATAAAATTTTAGAAACGTAGCTCTCCTCACATGAATTTTACGTACTTTTTCAGATGCATTTAATTAAAACATTTATTCAATTGATTTGTGTCAAAGATTGAGGCTTTTTCAAATCAATGACGGGTTACTTTCATATAATCATAATAAAAGTTCCATATTGTGCCTGCTCTAGTCTCAAAAATATTTCAGTGCATGTTAATTTCATATCCATTTCTAAGAGGTAAAAAAGAAGAAAAAACTATGCCAATATTTACTAGAATTAAAACATTTTTAAAACTAAACATGCATTTACCTCTTCATATATAACCAAAGTTTAAAATTATTGATGAACTGTTTTCAGTGATAAACAATAAATCAACACGGAATTGGACAAAACACCCTTAATTACAATTGGTTCAAACACAGATATCCGGCGTATATGCGATTCTCTTCGTGCTAGAAATGAAATTGCAATTTTGTCAAAAACAATATCGGGGTTCCTAGAACGTCTGCGACGCTTTCGAAAGAAATACCAGTTAAGATCGCCGTGAAAGGGGCAAGATTATAGTCGTTTTACTGGGGTATAGAATGAAATAATTTACAATATACCATGCAGTAAATGTCAGCGGTGATCCGTCATTCCAAAACTGCAGTAAACCGTATCCAGTCATTTCATCCGGTTCTAACGTTAAACCTGTAATAATTGAAAATGACGAATTAACGTCTGCATAAAATTCAGTGGTCATCCATAAAAAGGCTTAAATAACTCTTTAACTGGTCATTACAACTGAAAAGAAATGTCACTCGATGTATTTTGAGTCTAAACAAAGTGCTACACTATCCTAACATGATACTCATAATATTTCTTATTTTATGATTTTTTACAGGGGATCAAATATCTAGGTCTTAAGACAAAAGTTCTTTCTCTTTAGTTGTGAAATTTAAGTCAAAATGGCCTAAATATACCCTCGCACATTTTTAATTGAAACTACCAGCACTATTTTGGTAGTTTATGAAAATATAATACAAGATATCCTTATCAGAACTATTAAGAATATATAAAATCATCAAAACACAGAGAAGCTTTTTTCACTGCCAGAGATAACTGAGTAGCTCTTACCTATGTATGTAAATGCCATAGTAGGATTTGCACCGTGTGTACCTTTCGTTTTAATCACATCGTAATAGAAGTTTAGCAATAATTCACGTGTAAATTGTTGTTCTTTTTTCGACTTTAAGTTTATTAATGTCATCTTCAAATTTTCACAATTTCCTTGTGCTATATCCCAACTGCTTCCGGTTCTTGATTTGAGGTGATAAAATTTCTTGAACTCATCTACGCATACTTAAAAAATAAAAGACAAAACATGTAAAGTTTTGCTATAATCATTGATTTTCTATTAGATTATAGTATTGAAATTTTTCATTCTAAACTGACCAAAAACGATTTTACTTTATAATTTGTAATCCTTTTCAGGAATTTTAATCAAATTTCGAATGATTGAAAACTAATTATTAAGCATTTGAATTCTGGTGAAAATCATCTGTTAAGATGATGTGAAGATAAGCTGCCTGATAAATTATTATAACTTTATTGTCATGCTAGTCTAAAACATATGTTCGCCTTTGATTCTTGGCTTGTTTAATAAGACATATCACCAAAGGAAATGCCTATTTCCTGAAACAGCTTTTTGTCGATATTTTACAATGCAAAATATGTTATTGAATATAAAAAAGCAGCATACACTGTATGCATCAGTAACATTGACCCAAATAACCCTAGGCTCAGAGACCCAACTCAACAAACCAAAATATATTAACTTCTTTCCAACTGGTGGACACTGAGTTGACACCAGTGCAAATAAATTGTTAATCAAGTTTATTATAATTCCAAACTTTATGTCTTACCTTATGATTGGTTTTCCTTGCTATTGAACAACACAAATTTATTGTTTTGTATTGGTCTATGAATTTCGAATTTTTATACAAAATGATATTTATTTTATTAGCGTAAATTTAGAAAAAAAATAAATATGATAGATGAATATAAAAATGTCAACATAGTATAATATAAAAACGATCCCAGCATAACAGCTACTTTTCTTATATTAAAACTTTTTCCTTATAGTGTATGTAATTCAAAGTCGTACATTCTTTCTACTAAGAAAAATTTTTATGGAAAATTAAATAGTATAAAGAACAAAATATGCATGCTTATTTACCTTTCCTTGTTAATGGAAAATCAGCATCGTCTGAAATAAAAAAAAAAGACAAATAAAAACACTGCATCTATTGTTGTTACAGAAAAGCAACGATTCGCGAAATCAAGTCGGCGGAGAAACAAAATGGGAGAAGAGAAACGTCTAATATACCACGCAGTGTGATAAATTATATTATGCTCAGAAACAAAATATGCGCACATTTCAAAAACTGGTTTGCCATAACTGTTTTTAAAGACTATTGAATTGCAATTTGATTAGGATTTCCATATAATATTAAAACATTACCCATTCTCTTATTCTTTCATATGCTAATTCGTATGATTTTTCTAATGAACTATAAAGGTAATTTTTCATGTATGTGATACGTCATAAAATATTATCGGAGGCACTGTAGGTCCTTAGAAAATGAAAATACAACCTTCATTCAAAAGGCTAGATCATCAACAATTCTGATATTCGCTATCAAAGATGATATCTAAAAGTTTGATGAAATAGATAATTGTTTAATCAGTAACATGTCCTGTCAGTATGATAAATATTTAAAGTAATTTTACCATTTGTTCATATACAGAGAGGTTTAATTTTGGTGTTATATTTACCATATTATATCAATGAAACGATAATTGTCATAAATCTAAAGTCTTACCGATTGCCATCGTAATTTTGTCTTGCATTGGAATGAAGTTATATTTCAGCTGGAACCCCTCCGGAAATGGGTTTGATCCAAACACGTTGCTTTTGAATGGCTTATATAATATATTTGTCGTCCCAGCCGGGAGAGAAATGTTTCCATGTGGTCGATCCGAATTACAATATTCCATTCTTTGTTTGATATAAGGACCTTGAATTCTAAACTGAGACTCTAAAAACAACAGTGTAATAATGTTATATCACTGTCCGCATTTGTGAATACAAGTACACATTCAGATTAAATAACAATTATCCCTATTAACTTTCAAAGAAAATGTACGTTATGATATTTATTACCCAAGTTTTATTCTTGAAATTACAAGCCGAAAAATATTCGTCAAGCATGTTTTTTTTTAATCATGCCCAAACATGGTTGGTGCTTTGTCATTGATGTTCTATAAGGAAATAAAATATAGGCTTAAACCTTACCAGAGATACAACTGATGTCAAACTCTTTGAAATTTATTGTCATCATTATAGAGTTTGTTGGTCCTTCCAACGTCCACACGTAAATATGGTTATTAACTTGATCATCATATCTTCCCAAAAAATTGTACGAATACAAATCCATTTCTGGTAACATACACTTCCTTGTTGTATAACTGCTCTCACAAATTGCAGAATCTTTGGAAATAAATAAAATAATCTCAGTATAGTCATAGTATAATACATAAGTGTGACTCATGATTTTTAGGAAAGTTCAGATACAACTATGTGTACATAAAGTGCTGGTTCTTTTTTCTTTATCAATCTGTCATTTATTTGCATATATGACAAAACAGCATGTTTGAAAAAAAAAATGTAATAAATTTCAAAACCATTGTGCTTACCAGTTTCCGTTACATGAACTTTGAAACCTTTGCCACGGTACAGCATGTTCCCTGCAGGGCAAGCGATAAACGTCAAAAATGCCATTTTGTTTATTATAGAAAACCCGGGTATTTTCCCATTACTACTGCCATTTATTCTACGGAGGTTCTGGTCATCGACAGGTATCGCCGAAATTAGGTCATACGTGATATCATATGATGAGTATATAATAACATCTCCGCAAATACGGTTGTTGAGAAACGTATCGTCGCCTACAGGCTTTTTATGAAATATTAATTGCTTGATGTTAGTTTGAATCATAATTACTTTTTTTAATTAATTTGCCTAGATATAGTTGCTAGGTAAAATGTCTTATCGTTGCTATGTTATATCATAAATTGTCACCTGTACAAATATATACTGAAAGCCTTATGTAAATTAAATGAGGTGGCATTGATTGTTGCAAAAAAAAATATTTGTCAGGAGAAAATATGCCATTTTTATATACAAAATATCGGTAAGTAAAGAATTGCAAAAGAAGAAAAGGTGTTTAATGGATCTAATTGTGTCATCTATGTTTGGAAAAAAAAGTATTGAATTAGTTTTACTTTAAAAAGATATATAAATATTATTTTGAAAAGGCGTTATTGCTTCTTGTTAAAAAGATTGTAATTGCATTTATATTGTTGAACTCAAAACACTCATCTGTAAATATTTTTGATTGTCTTCTTTAATCATTCATTTATTTACACAATCATTCATTCTTTAAGCATTTATTCATTCTTCCATGCATTCATTTATAAGCAAATATTTATTATACCTCTGTTGACGGCCCAAGTCGGTATTACTATTTCCACATTTATTTTAATATACAATTATTTACCTCAAAATTTCGCAGCGAAATGAGTGTGAACTGTAACATGGAATTTTCTATCGGAAGCTGAATTTTCCACGTATATATGCCATTGAACGAGCGCGTCATTGGATAATAAAAACCTATAACAGCAGTTGATGATATTAATTTTGATGACTCAAAATCGAACATTATTTTCCTGTCTGAACCAAGTCTGAATGTGGCAGCTGCAGACGTGTTCCTTTCTAAAATTAAGATAGAAAACGATAGAAATTTATGTATCATGTATTTACGTCATGATCAGGTAGAAAAATATTGTAGCAAATAAAATTGCTATGGTGAAATAAAAGAAATATATTCATTACATATAACAATAGATTAGTGAAATATAACTGAAAATTATACTTTTATGATATCACAGAAAAAAATAAATTAGAAATTCATTGAAGCCAAACTAGACCAATATTTGAATGAATATACACATGAAATGAATATAAAAATGCATCATTTTAAATGAATAGAAATTGCTACAAATTACGCTCCTTCTTAGTGGTATACACATTATAACTGGTGACAAATAAATATTCGCACACTTAGTGTTAAATGTTTTTTACAAAATTATTCTTCAAAGTGGAACTTGTGGTATTAAAGGCTTAACAAGCTCAAACAAACCTGTATTTCTGCAGCCGAATAATTCGAAGTTGATACACAGAACGCCTCCAGCGTCACAGCTAGAGGGATATATTCGAAGAACGTTCGCTTGAAATGGATCACTAAATATGAACGACCGTGATTCTCGTGAATTTATAGGTTCATGATAAACGAACGGCTGGAAGGCGATATATCATTTGTAATACATGTAATTTGTAAAAAAAAGTATTTGAATTCCAAATGTAGCCCAGTGAAATTTGTTTCCAGGTGAACATATTGCTCCTATTCAGACATAAGGCGCACATATACACACATATACATATATTTTTCTTATGAATTTTATGAAAGTTTCAGATATTGAACTGCAATAGTCTTAAAAATGACAGCAATGCCGGGCAAAATAGCTTTAAAAGTAATTAGCATCCTTTGAGGTATGTTGACATTAATTTCATCCGGTTATTTATTTAAAAGTATGTTATTAATAATTTCAATAATATATGTCTGATTCAAGAGCATTGAGATATGCAAAATTAGTATTTAGATTCACTGATATTCAAATTAGCCCAAGAATGTACACAATTTATCAATGAACACTAATTCATTAGACGATAGTACATGTAGTTGGTAGATATGCATATGCGTTTATATAAAAAATATTTTAAAGAAAACCATCGTAAAATCACATTTCCCAAATGCATTAAAACCTTTATAGTTTTTCAAACAACAAAGGCCTATAACTTAAAAAACTGATTTGAATGATATGCCATTAGCTTCAATCACGGTGATATTCAGGTAATGTTTTATTTAAAACTGATCAATCAGTTCAGACAGAAGGAATGACTTAACGAAAAAAGGTCATGGATCATATCTAATTCGTTTTTTGTTCTTTATTTCTTTTTGTTTTGGAAAATATCTATTGCTTGTTTATCGTTAAAAGGACTCTTATCCTAATCTAGTTGCTCGAGCATATGGACAGACATATGGACAGACATATAGACAGACAGGGTTATTTCAATATCTCTTCCTTTTTTATTGTCGACGGATAATGATACATAACCTTTTCGTTGTATACTTTGTAGACGTTTGCTGTCCGGCTATGTTCTAAATCGAACGACTTGCAACTGTTATCGTCTTGTTTACAAATATCTTTCTCATTCCACATTTTTATTTCCAGTCCATCTATTGTGATAGCCTCCATGAATTTCACCTGTGTTTAAAACGTGATTTTAAAAAAAAAATGATAATTTAATGAGAGAAACAGTAAAACTTAAATCTCAAAGTAATTTTCCTGACTAGGTCAGTCAAACACTGTTGCTGCCAGTATTATACATTGATTGCTTAAAGTAAACAAACACATCATGAATTTTGTCACATAATACGCACTGCAGAGCTCTAACAGCAAAATTACATGAGCAAAGTTATCAATATTGTTAATTTCCAACAAATCGTTCAAGACTATCATAAACATGTTAATTAAAGCAGTGGCGTCCAGGTGTTAAGTACATACCAATAAGACACCTTAACATAATGTGGAATAATAAATGAGATAAAAAGAACCATCAGGAAAGATTTAAATAACAACCTGGATATATGGTTTTACATCGGATGAATTGGCACACCAACCAGTTAAATGAGGACGGGCTTCTCTTGGTTCGTGTGATTGCTGCCAGGAAGATGCCGTTATTTGATTCTCCGAAATGTCAAAGTTATTCATACCGAATTCTTGGTTACATCTTTCACTGTAAAAGCCTGAAAACAAATCAGAATTTCATTTTACAGAATTATTCCTTGTATAATCTTGTTTTCAATTATCGGTTTTGCTAGCAATTAAGAAAACAAAATAAATTTATAAGTAAAAACATACTTTCAATGTTTTCTGCAGGATTCCTTGCATCGTAAATAAGGTGTGGCAATGTTTTTAAACTTTAAACAATTACTGTACTAGTATGTTACATTAGGGTTCGCTAATAAAGATAAAAGAATAATTTTCCCCGATTATCTTTATATTGATACGCATTCTAATATAAAACATTTTCCATTGGCAACAATGCATCTGGATTTCGACGTATGAACGTATAGATTTTATATATCACTTGCACAATTGCTCTTAAAACGTGCTTAATATAGCTTCAATTATTTTACTGTACAATTAAATGTCTGTAGCTTTGTTCTTAGTTATTATCAGTGCTAAAATATGTTTGGTAAAGTTATGTATCGAAATCTGGAAATGGGCCGATCTTTTGAAAGCAATGAAAGCAACAGTTTTATATGAAAATTGTAGATTCGGTTTTATTTAGTCTGTTCAAATGAGATAAGAGAAATGTGCAACAACACCCGCGTGCCCCTTAGCACTGACTTAACCGGTTGTCAGTCTTCAACACTGATGTGTTGGTGTCAATGATCCCGAAGGACCAGGCAAATATGAAATCATGAAGTAAAGTAGGGCGGCAACATTTTACATGGCACTTGACACTTGTGGTGTATGAAAATCTGGAAAAGGGTTAAAAGAAACCCGTTGGGGAAATGCCAGTACACTATCTTAACAACTGATAACAATGTAATTTTATCATTATGCACTGTAATCTCATTGGGATATTTCATCAATATTGAGATTTTACATTAATATTGAAAATATTTGATCGATATTAAATAAGGATAGTGAGATGTAAAACAAAAAATAGATACCAGTTTGAATCGCCGAATACATTGTATTATTGATAAAATTGACTACTATTTGGTTCAAATCTGCTGTTTGACTTTTGAGATACATCATTTTCACTAAAATAACAAAAGTAATAAGTTTGATTTCATCATTTTAAATAGAATTTTACGTCTTTTTACTGAACGAATTTATGATAAATCAGTTTAAACCGCATTTTTTTAATTGATGTTTAGCATCTACGTTATTGAAATACATTTTCATTTCTGATATATAATATGGTCAATAAAGTAAATGTTAAATTAACTATCCGATTAAGACAATAAATTGAATGTTGCTTTGTTTTTCTTTTTTTCTTCTTTTTTGTGTTTTGTTCATTTCCGTAAATGTTTATTGAGCAAATTTTAAGAATTGCAACTTTCGACAAAAAATACCTGTACTTTATATAACGTGAAAATAATGAATACGAATACAAATACAATTACTGCAATAAAACTATAAGGCAAAAAACAATTTTTTTTACATTTGATTTATATATATTACTAGTTCTGATCATATTATTTTCTGAATGAACGGTCATATGAAGAAATATATTTACCTTGATCCAGATCATAAGACATTATAGAAATAAACGTTTTCTCGAAGTCCTTTGAAAAGTCATCATCAAAATCTGTGGTGTTTGACTTAAACAATATTGTAACATACCTTCCAAACAGTGACCTAAATTGATCAATATTGTAACAGATAATGAATGAAGAATACACAAAATATACCTATAATCTTTAGTAAACAATCATTACTAAGCTTTATACTCGTATATCCCTGCATTGCAAATTATGTTCTGTAAATGAATCTATTTTAACGCAGCATGTCTCCAGATTCATGCTTATTTTCATGAAAATATTTAAAATGTGTTAAAAATTCAATGTATATTCAAGTCAAAGAAAGCAATTTACACATTGGAAATGGCACTTTCAGTTAACCAAATTACTTTTACACTTACTTTAACCTTATTATCACATTTAGATATTGTTAAATTTGTTTATGTATTTAAAGTACCAGCTTAACTATATGTACTCTAATGTTATACCTTTTACATCGAATAACCACAGGACTGGAAATAGTAGACGTGTCTACAGAATGTCTACAGATGAAAGCTCCGTCGTTCACATGACTCCATCTGTTTTCACTCACGAAAATATGTTCCAAATGATCTGAGATTCAAAAGGAATTAATTGAGAATTAAGGACAGCTCTGCAATGCGTCATTATGAGATTAATCACCTTGTTAGTACTAATCAAATAAGAGACACCATATATAAAAGTTATTCTAAGTAAATTACAGAAAACATTTTTTTTATTTTTTTCAATATATGAAATAAAAACAACAATTGTATCACGAACATTTATTTTGATTAATATATAAATAAAAGAACTATTGCGATGAGGAATAATTCGATAAATAACTTACAAAGATTCAACATGTCAATTTTCGAAAATAGTATTCCGGATACTAATACAGTTTGTCTCGCATCAAGCATTACCAACGTCTCAAAATAGTCACATTCTTGCACAGGTCCTTAATTAGAAAACAAATTTTCACAATTCTTAACATATTTCTATGAAGGGTTGCACAACTTACAAACTCACCAGAATATAACAGTACCAAGAGAAAACAAAGAGTGTAAATTTATATATTTTTCTCTCCTTCAAAAATATTTGAAAGCTATTATCTTTCCATCAGTGTATGATATATTCAATTATTGCGTATGTTACTTTAATTAGTAATAAAAGATGCGATCTTTTTTCTGAATATGACATGCGAAAATCCCATATTTGAGCAAGTGTGCCAATAAGCTAAAGCCTACGGGCAAATAAGTCACCAAGAGCAATATGGACTAAAGGGACACTTGCCCCATGTTATAACCTATACGTATTACTTAAATAAATATTCTTCTAATATTAAATAATAGTGGTGGTTCCTTTGCAAATCACTTTACAATTACACCAAAGGTGCTTCTGAACCTTAAGTCATGTTAATGCTGAAACCTTGTATAATTCTTTATTTATTTAAATTTTGCGATTACTGTAAGAATGTTGTGTGACTAAAACAAACCGTTCTGATAATGGTAACAGCGCTGATTTATACTCATGCTTATTCCTACAAAGGCATAACCGTAACCAGGGTATCCAAACCATTCTTACATGAAAAGTAGAAAATAGTGAGAACATCAATTGCATTTAGATTATTTACATCAGCTAATTAAATTGATATTATATAAACAATTATTTCATTATATGCTTAGCGATTTATTTGTGTCACTGTTTATTTAAAGGAAGTATACACCCCTTAGTTGTAGAGTTGTCCTAATCTTAAACCTTCTTCCAAAGTTGTCTATATTATTTGTGTAATGCTACTGATTATTTTGGGCGCATGAGTCCTGCAGCATGGATTTATGTGTGTATTTACTCTTGTGTAATTGCCTTCTTTGTCCGTTACTGTTATGCTATATATTTTCTTTTTTACGACAATTTCTTATTCTTGCCATTAGAATTCAGAATTATTATCATAACAATAGTTAAGGTCACATTATCTGTTAAGTAACATTTACGTCATCCACAAATTAGATTTAAAAGATGTTTGATGTCAATTTTCTTCCCAAAAGGTTGTTAATAATCTTGAAGTACGTATTTAGTTCAACTAAAAAACATATTATTGTAAGTAAAACATATTGTTTACCAATCATTTCTTGTCCATAGTCTGAAATAAAAACCATGTTTTAAATAAATTTCGCAAATAAACATCAATCTCAAGCAATATGTTTCCTTGACAGTTGACAAATAAAGTTGTATCAGTAAATATATTTAACATGAAAGCACTTTGTACCATTTCTGATCATTCGCTTTAAAGTAACTGACGTTAAGGCAGGTTTTTCCCAAAAATTTCAAATATTTCGACCGGAGATATTTTAATAGAACTTATATAAAACAGTTTACAGTACATCGTTACCTTAAAAAGAAATCTAAACTTAAAAGCTAAACTATTATATGCTTTTAATTAAAAGTCCTTTCTGAAATACATGATCTCCTTTTTATTGCTATAATCAATTAATAGTTTATAGATATCACATCCTTTTGAGGGTGATACCAGACACAAGTGACGTAACGCTTCGGTATATTCAAGGAAAACATTTAATACCTAAAACGCCGTTTGGAAATGTAAAGGGCCGAAAAATTATCTTGCCATGGATACACTACAAATTGTTACCTCCTGAGGTCAAATAAGGCTAAACAGTTTGTAAATCAAAAAAGGGATAATAACAGTGAATGTTGATACTTTAGTTACAGAAATCGTTAAATCTTTATTTTGTTTAAATGAAGAAGTGCATATAAACATTTGTGTATTTATGAATATTTCATAACCTGTCTTTCCCCCATCGTTAAAACTGCTAGGTACTATGTGGCAGAATGTAAACTGATAATATGGCAGCCATTCTCCAGAACTGTTCATGATACGTGCCGATAATGGCACGGGAAGATGTTCTTGTGTAATTATAAACCCATCCAATTCGGGACACTCTGTTGTTTGTGTAAAATCCTAGAGAATAAAAATCGTCGTGAACGTAAGTACATGGTCAAAAACAAGGTTCAATGGGCTCAAGTTTTGCAAATAAGTGTTCGAAGCTTGCAATAAATGATTTAAATCACATGGCATTTGTTAAGAATGCTGATAACTGACGATCTCTAATAAAATACCATACAATGCTATTGGTGAGGAAAGAAATGATACTAAAATGTATAAGTTCAATATTTGTTCAAATTGCACTTTCTTGCAAAATACCCATGAAATGATAAAGAAAAACTAAGTATTTAGTACTAAAATAGATAAATACAGAATCCCTAAAGAAAGCCCAACACGGCAAAATTGAAAATGTTGCAGGCTCGGTTTGATTGAGCCTGTTCATGGACGGTACTGAAAAGTGCAAGTTACCGTCCACGCCCCCTAGCACCGGCTTAAGCAGAATTCAACATTTAAACATGAAATAGTAAAATTTTGACTAAGACTGATCATCGCGGTATGGACACATTTGCTGATGTTTTTAATTGAAAACTTTCAACATTACAAGTTAAAATGATGAAAACTGCTTTAGCCGGTGCCACGGGGCGTGAACGGTAGGACCGTTGATAAACAGGCTCATTCAAAACGAGCTAAAGTATATCATTGAAATTTTGATATTTTGAGCGCTTTTCTGGGATTCTGTTTTCTCTGTTTTATTCCGCCTAAAATAAAAAGATGCCATTATTATATTTTATATTTTATTGTTCTATGTTTACCTGTAACACCAAAAACGGATTAAGAAATGTAGCTTCTTGAACGACGTCGTCGTTAGAAAATATTTCACGTCTGCAGTAAATTAATTGTAAATCTGAAATCGAAGATATTTGAAAGCCTGTGTGATCTTTTATCATTCACTTTAAATATTTTACAAAACAATGAAAGAATAAAAACACGTTTATTTTATTAGTGTTTAGTGTTATATATATTTCTATTTATGTTATAAATACCATTCCTAACTCATCTCACAATCTGGTATTTATTTACAAAACGTTGCTTTGACACGATCTGCATAGCAACTAGTCAGATTTTTTTAAGTCCGAAAATAACAAATCATTTAATTATTAAATTATTGATATGAACCTCTCACATTAACAAATATAATTATAATAATAATAATAATAATAATAAAGAATGTAATAATAATAATAATGATATATAAATTCATATACATTTAAAATACATCGGAGACCAATCAACTGATATTGATAAGAGCCATATGTAACCAGTATCACCTATAATATGACTATAGGCGTATAAATTAAGTTAAACAGTGACATTATGATTAGAGTGCTCACCTGTAAAATCTTTAGTTTCTATCACCTTATGGTATGGAATGTGGCCGTCAATATTGTAATATTGAAGTACTGGTAGACATATGGACATGTTATGTGCACTAAAACCTGAACATTAGATTGACAATCTCATCAATAAATAGTAAGAAAGCCCTTAAAATCATACATTGTTCTTTCATGAGCTTGGCCAATTGAGGAAATGCAGAGAGACATTTTTTTTGCCTATATATAGAATATAAAGGTGAAATTCGAATCTATATTTATTGTACACTAAAAAAATTTGGAGAAGTACACTCAATTCGTTGTCCTCTTGTTAAATTGATGGCAAGGTAGTTCATATAGCCCTGCAGTATAGAGTTAAAGAATAAAATATATTTTACAAAAGTAGACCAGCATTGTAATATGTACCATTCTTGATGTAACAGTTTTTATATCAGTCCATGGCCATTCCTTGTTTGATGTTTTAATAGGTTGACTAGTTATATTTTCTTTATTTTGTTTATTACATATTGCATCTTCAAAATAACAATACAAATACAATTTTTTTCAGGAAAATAATAAGTTTCAATGTACTCGATATAACGTACCTGTAGATCTAGTATTAAATTTTAAACTAAAGCTTTACTTTTATCAGTGTTACAGAAAAAATGTGGTTTTTGTGTAAGAATAACACCATATTAAGTGATATATTGTTATTAAATTAAACCATAATTCGCGCGCTTTCAAAAAGCAATTATGTTAAAAGGGGCAGGTCAGTCATAACACTAAAATAATTAGAAATTGTACCTAAGGGACATCCTTTGTCTGTTCCGTAAATCCCATATGAGCCATTAAACCAGCGTATACTGTCTGACTCTGTCAATTGTTCTTCAGATTCAAAGCAAAAGTTTAGCTGCAATGTATGTTTATTAAATGGCCCAAGCACTGATGTTGAGTTTTGAAAAGAAAAATTCATTACTCTTTGTTGACATTCCTCTGTATATGATTCAGGTTCATCTAATGGAAGAAGAGTTGATATATTGATATAACCAGTCTTCCAACCTTTTGAAGCACCATATGGACAGCCATCCTTCGACATTGGTAAAACGATTGATACATATGGAGATTCGTTTGTGTGAACACCTATATCATATATCCAATGGTTTATGTTTAAATATTTACAAAATAACTGCAGTTTGTGTCTTTCTTTTACAGTAAAATAAAGGTAAAATCAACACTGAAGAAGAAGGCTCGGTCGATTTAATTGAGACTGTTCTTGGTAGAGGTAACTAAATCATTCAATTTCCAGTTTTAAAATGCTTAGATATGTTATATAAAATTTCGGATGCGTTTGAAATAGGGTCAATATTCCACGTTTTCTACTATAGATACTCGGTTTGTCAAATATATTTAAGACTTTTAATGATTTTTATTTTTGAATTTCATCACTAAGTTTTTAACATACTAGTAAAAATGAAAATTTTGTATTTTATATAAAGTCATCGGCAGAGATTTTGCTTAACATTTTTGTTAATCTATCACGTCATGTTTTAATGTGCTATTTAATATAACTATTTTTAAGGAAGGACTTTTTTAATGTTTTACATATAATAAGACATTTTAACAAGCGTTGGTGCAGCTACATTTACGAAACGAATTTTAAGTCCGAGAAAATTTGAAAAATGAGACAAGTTCCTTCCAACCCTTGTTATAATCATGCAATTCACAGGCAGATAAAAATTGAAATAATTATAAGAAACAGTACACTTCAGTATATTTATTGTGAATGATGTTATTAATTTATTTTTCTAAAAGTCTTTTAAATAATTATGGCATTTTAACGTTTGTTTTTCAAAATAAATCTGTTAATAATATCTAAATATCTATTATTTAGTCATCTGTTTATCACAAACTTTACACTTTTTATTTTACAGATGGTAACTTTAAGTTTTAAACTATGAACAATTCATTATTACTTTGTATATAAAATTTATTGAAAAATAAAATCGCTAATGTTTCATTACATGGTATAGGAAAATGTTCTATATACAATAAAAAGCCAAAAGTCAAAATAAAATCTCGATGACGGGGTTATCCGTTGCATTATCTGTCAAATATGCAATTAGGATCTGTATTCTTAAAGTTGATTGGTGGTCCACAATTGTCACATTTTCCGTATGAATTTCAAATATTGATAAAAGCAATAAAAATGTATCATTTGGATATTATATATTATCAAATATTGATTGAAAAAAAAATATCGATCAAATTATTAACACTTAGTATAAACATTTATAAGATGAATAATACATATTTTATTGCAAACAACTTATTATCCATTAATGTACAAAATAATTTAATACTAAGATATCGGATGATATAATAAATTTTATGTTTTTTATGATAAGAACTCCCTTACCTTTTGTAGAACTAAGCATGTATTCTAGTAACAGAATAAAACTAAACGATTTAAAAAGCCTTGCCATACTAGTTACTTCAACATATCATCGTAACAACTATAGTTCTATCATACAGACCAAAATATTCTACTGTTTTACATGCTTCAGTAAGAAAAAATACACTAGAGTATTTGTTGTCTGAAATGACATTACATTAATGACATTAATTAATACGTAATAGATGAAAGCGCATTAATTACATTAATCAATACGTTATAGATGAAAGTGCATTAATTCGTTTTAACAAGCTTTTTGAAAAGCTTTTAAACAAACTAGATGAAACGGTGTATTTGATCCATTAGTGCTTATCTACTATAAGTAGAGTTTTTTTTTTAAATAAACATAAGTTCTTTGATTTCAGCTACATTAAGGTTTATTATTATTATTATTATTATTATTATTATTAAGATTATTATTATTATTATTATAAGTACAATTTATAGAACACATTAATGTAATAACATTACTTACTTTTTATAACAAAAAAAAGTGAAATTTAATGATACAAAAATAATTAAATATACATATAATTTTACATTTAATTGTAAATCTTAATATTTTGCAAATCATTACTTTTAACAAGAAGCATTTGTGAGTAACTACCATAAACTTTCGTTTAAAATTATAATATTAAAACAGGAACATTTCATGAATAAGAAATCACTAATGCCTTTAAACTTAAGTACAATTGGTCACGCTCTTTCACTTACCAACGTTACTGAAACAAGAAAAATGTTGGACACTACTTTCTGTGCTTTTCGTTAACAAGAAAACCTATCATTTCATTGATAGAAATTTACTTTAATTGTAAAGTTTAAAGTTTAAATGATCATAGGGTTGATGGCAATATGTTCTTTCCACCAATCAAGATCATCTAATGTAAGACTAAATGGCTTAAGTACCTTCATCGTGGATGACGACAAGGTTGTTTGTTTTCTCCCATTCTTTTTAATCTTTAAACAGGGAAATGACAAATATCTCAACAAAGTCTCTCTATAACATTCTTCAAATGAACATTATTTGTAGGTAAGGGTTACTTGCATCAATAGTTTAATCAATAATGATAAAAATTAATTGTTCCTTGTGCGACAAAATTTGTCGTCAAAGGTATGTGGTTCTGTGAAGCTGAGTATTGTTGGCGGATTTCCGTGTCATAGTGAACGTCTATTTTGGTTCTCTTGTTTCTCTATTTTCTTACTTATTAATTAATTAATTAATTAATTAATTAATTAATCAATAAAACAAGAAGGGGAACTCTCCTGAGTACATACCTTTTGTAAGAATCAATTAATTAATTAAACATTACATTAAAGCATACATACGAGAGGCAGTCATTAAATCAAGATTTTATGATTATTATATGCTTGTAATTTTTCTCCAAAGGGAAACTTCATTTTAATGAAATGACGTATATGTGTACTCTGTAAAGAGATTTTTTTATGTGATGACTTTTGATGACAATAAAATGGTTAGTAATATAACTTAATAATAGTATCATTCAATTTCTGAAGTACTTTAGAGGATGAAAATGACCAGAATAATATTACAGATTTATAAAAGTCACCCTATTTCATGTGATAAAGATGAAGGGAATGTTTGTTGTGATATGATGTACACTTGCAGCAACCTTAACCATCAACAAATAATTTCTAACAATAAATTACTTTGCCATTAGTACAGATATATTAAACAAACATATTCCAATATTTGATCAATGGTTTATCAAAATTTACATTTACAAAAAAACACAAATACAATAAGATACTTTGCTCTATGTTTTAACCATATTTTAATGTAACGAATTTCCCTTTGATTTTTCCTTTTTCAAATAGAAAATAAGCAAAATTAATTTTAAAAGAAACATGCACGTCTTCCTCAAGTAAATGAGATTATAACATAGGAAATGATAAATAGCCCACAGCATCTAACAATTCATGAAAGCCAAATATTTATTGAGAGCAGTAGTGGCAAACGTAAACAAAAGCTTACATATATTTTTAAAACTTTTAAAACTGTTTGCTGATGAAACTGTTTTCACATAATTATAAAGAAATATACAATTATTAAATATAGACTGGGGGAATATCTTTGAACCATTACAAACCCGCTGTTATGATATTTTCAAACAATTTCCCCAAACAGTATCTTCATTTTACATTATAAATCCTTTGTCTGAGCTAGCCTTCACATTTTTCAACAACTTGCCATTGAATATTCTTGATAAAAATGTTAAATCAATTAATTCTTAAATTCCCTCAACTGAGGTATTTTTTACTTGACGGGGTTTAAGATATTTGTCCAATATTAATGTAACATTTGATGCATGTCTAGACCAATAGCTTTTATGCAAGTTTTCAGAACGTTCCCTCTCTCCGTTTTTTTCAGAATCAACATTAATTTTGTATTGTGCAATATAACCCCAAAAATAAAAATAAAAGGGTTGCAATGCTTTTCACTCAAACCGGGCTGAGAAATGCACACAAATCGATTTTCAATTTAATTCTGAGCATATTTCTTTATCATCTCTTTATTATCATTATTATCCTTTGCAGATTTTTGCAGATTTTCCATTTTAAGTGCTTCACTTGTTTTATGCAGGAATATCACATTTTATGGTTTTAGGCTTTTGAACTCAACGAGTTCCTTTAAATTTGGGTCTGAAATATCGGTCTTTCACAAAGGGTATGAAAAGTTTATTAAACAAGTATTGTAGTGCTGCCTTCTATGTACTAAGGAGAGTTCCCCTTCTTGTTTTTCGTAAGATAAGTATTGTTAAGTCTTTGTTTAAAACAGTAAAGAAACCTGATGTAGTTTTAGCTCTTTTAAAAAGTTAGCACTCTCGAATATTGCTACAGTCATGTTGTCGTTGACGTTGCCGTTACCGATATTATTGCATTAAGGTATTAGGACCCTAATGGGCACTATCAGGAACTAAAGAAATGACATCATAGGTCAGATGTATACCTTAAAGTAGGCCTGTATGCAAAATTTAAACAAAGTTTACCGTACAGAAATAAAGTTATGGCCACTTTTCTGAACTCAAGCTAGAATGTTATGAGGGCCCTTTTTTAGAAATAAGGAACCTTTAAATAATCTGCAATAACATTCTAATGAAAACTGTTTTCCCATGAATTTTTGGTAAGAAACAAATAGTACCATTCAGCTAACAATCCACATGAGCAAAATTATGGTTTCTACTTAAAATTTATGAAATCTGTATAAAAATGTTACCCTACCCCACCCATTTTTACCACATTTCTGACCATTTTTCTACTAAGGGAGCCTAATTCAAAAAATTCTTAAAATTTACCCAAATGAGTGCCTGTTTTCAAAGTTTCCCTAAATTTTTTTAAAAGTATATTGGTTGATCTTGTAAAATATGAAATACTTTTACCGTCTAGTTTTGATTATATTACACTTTGAAAATATCAGGTACCATATTTGTTATTAGATTTAGCATAATTTAGCCAATAAATACCTAATATAAATTAAAAATTTAAAATTAAACACTTTTTTCTTCCATAAGGGATATGAGAGATACATAAATCATGCTAAAAGAATAAAAAGGAAAGAAAGTTGACCCGTCTGGGTTTTGAACACTGGCAGCCCTAATTTTCAATGTCTTTAACAGTAATTCTAGCCTATTTGAATACATTTCAAAGCAGAGGTAATGCTTTAGGGTGCTAATACCTTAAATATTCCTTATACACTTTGTCTCCATCTAAAGGTGCACTGCATCTAACACAAAACGCATCATTGTAAGAACTGATGCATTATGTCGTCATCTATTTATCTTTTTATCTGGAACAGTATAAAACGAGTACAAGTATGGACGTAATGGAATTTCCATGTCGTAACTCTTCCCTTTAACTTCAATTGTCCCAACTGCTCTGACATTTGTCAAGGTAGTATCTAAATGTATGCAGTTCACAGCTATGGTGTTACAACATTTATACGCAGCCATTTGACACTTGCGTTAAGCCTTGCTTGTTAATTTTTTTTGCCACTATTTCGATAGACAAATAAGCATTTTGATTTCACAAGTTTAGCCTACCAATATTTTTTTTCTAGGGTAACACTAAATATATAAATACGGTTATAAACAGGAGTCCAAGGAAAGAAGCGGATTTTTCTTTAAATATTTATTGATAATAGCTTAGTTCTCATAAACAAAATCGTTCTGATTTCGAATTTCTAATTAATTCAATATCCATTAGAGTAAAATGTAGTTCTGCATACATGATGCATTGATTGTCGTAACAGATGAATGAATTGTGTAAAGTGTGCAATGAAGAACCAACCTATGGTCACTTACGTTCTATTTATTTGAAAATCACTGACTAGGTAACAACAATACGTTGTCTAATTTGACTTTGAAACAGCCTGCAACTGACCGCACAACTTCATCTTGAAGTAGGCTACAAGATGCTTTTATGATGCAATAAAACATATAATAGATTTTATATACTCGTCCGATTGGAATGGGAACCAATATGTTTTTACAGAAAACGAAGAATTAAATCAATTAAGAATGGCATTTATATTTTAGTTTAGATGCCATGTATGATGAAGAATGACATATTTGCTATCTTTTCACCAAGCTTCGCTACATTTCTTCTATAATAAAACATATACTTTTTTCTGTCGTCTGCTACTCTATACTTTGTTAACTTCTGAACTCGAAGTAAAACTTCCTAATATAAAGATGGCGCGATCCATACAATCTGGATGCGTTGTACTTCTAGGTGCAGTTTGATATTGTCATGTTTAAGTGAGTTTCAACAATGAGAAGGAAGAATAATCAAATGAATAATATGTATGTATTTATTTTTTCAACAAATTTGAACTAAAGCATCACGGTTGCAAGGCAAAAATGATTTTTTTTTTTTTTTTGATTACTTTTTACCAGCTTTTTACCAGGCAATGCTGTCAACTTCAGGCTGCTGCTAGGCTACAAGGATGCAATGTTGCTTACCTGCAAACTTCACGAACACTATGTTTTAGTCAGTCCCATAGCATCGATAAGCGGAAGGTCTGCTTTGCAAAAATGAATAAAAACATTTTCAATGCTCAATACCATATATTTTAAGAAAATGTATTTTATTAAATATCATATAAATCTCTTTTTTAATTTTGTAAAGTAGATTTTAGCGTTTCTTCCCAAATTACCCATTTTTCCTGACTTCTGTATTATATATTCTATCAGAATAAGACAATTTTATCAAAACTCTCCGCTTGAACAACAATTAAAAAATACTTTGTCTAGCGCATTTCTTGTTTCCAAGTTGCCATACGGTTTGTGTATAAGAAATAACTCAAAAAGTTGATACATTTTAAAAAGTTTCATCACTTTACAAACGACCGTTAAATTGTTGAATCATTACTAGTTTTATTTTTATTTTAAATGTGGTCAGTTTTATGAACATTTACGAATATTCTCTTTAAGTTGATGTTAACCCTTCCTCTAAGTAAGCAGACATTATTACTTAACTTACAAACTTAATTACCTACAATATATATCACTAGGCGTTCCTCTAATAGACGGAAGCAAAGTCATTACGAAAAATCCTATATCATCTATCTTAATTGCTTTATATATCAGATATTTTTGATGTCACGGGATTTCGTAATGTGAACATACGATATACTGTGAAAATTATTGAATTCCTTCTTCTCTGAAAACAAATGCTAAAAAGAGTGCAAACGTGAACACGGCCTTTTTAAAAAAACGAATTTAAATGATATTGAAAACAAAAGCGACCTCCATTTGTGTGCAGTAACAATCCTTCATCAGTGACTAAAAAAGGCAACCTCGTGAAAGATTTTTTTTCAAAATCGACTGTATTATTTGTGTAGGGTAATTTTAATTTCAATACAGCAAATCTATCATTATTGTTTCCTTTTTGTCAGGTATGAAATAAATGATATATATCATTCTTTTATGATTTATGCCATAACAACTCGTGTCCAGTCATATACAGTTTATCAAGGAGCTTTCATGTGTCATGTTTTATGATAACTTTCAAGAGATCAAACTGACTACTCTTACCAATTTCCAATTATATGAGAAAAAGTCAAATTTAATGAAACTGTTGTTATATACAGAGTATATATGTCTACCCGCTGACCTTAAGAGGGAGAGCATCGGATTTGTTATTGAGGGGTCATTGAATCGATCCTCCGTCTGTTTAGCTCATTACGGAGATCATCGGGTTTGCGATTGAGGGGTCGGTGAATTGATCCTCCTTCCACTTAGCTCAATACGGACATCATCGGATTTGCAAAATGAGGGGTCGATGAATCGATCCTCCGCCCGTTTAGCTAAATACGGAGAGTATCATTTCGAATCTTGAATAAGGTATTTCCGTGAAAGTTGATCTCGGACATTGAGACTAATTGTTATTTGTCTCGCGCCCTTTGGCGCCAAGTATTGTACGATTTGGAATAAGACGTGTGATTTATAGCAAAATGACACGATTTATTTTGTGAGTTCTCAGTAATTTAAAAGATGAAAGTACATAAAATTTGTCATTTACACCATAACACGTTGGGAACCATTTAAAAGTTCTTACTTTTGCCAAAAATCTTTTATTTACAAATATCTTATTCAAACTTTATGGATCTTTGCTCCAAAAAAATATAATGTTCAGGAATAAGACATCACTTCTGTGTTGTTATACTTTTCTTATCTTTCGGGATCATTACTTTCAGCGCATTTAAGAGTTGAAAATTGAGTGCCGCTAAAGCGGTGCTAGGGGCAGATGCACTTTTTTATTATTCCAATTGTACAGACTTAATCAAATTTTCATGTAATTTTGTTGTGATGAATGCTTCCGAGGGATCATCTTTTACCAGATTTGTTGAACTTTGCAAAGATTTTAGGGATACTAATTTTCATTGGTATCACATCACGGTATATTGCATTGGTGAGTATTTCTTATCTTGTATACTTGTGTAATTTGAAATTCAAACAGTTCACGCGAAAAAAATATCTTTTTGATTGTTTTACCTCTAAATCAAAGTCCGTCGCATATTTTGAAGCGTTTAAAGTCGAAATACAAAATTTAATGATTTCATTATTTGACTGCTTTAAAGCATTGTGATATAAAATTTATAAATACGTAATTCAATTCATATAATCGACAGTCATTTTCGTTGGATCGTTAATTGGCACAACGGATAATCCCCAATAGAATTGTTTTTATCTGATGAATTACTTGTGCTTTTGTAACTAAAATGGGAAAATTTAGAATATTTAACTATTTTACGCTTGTAGCTGCAGAGAAAATTAATTGATTGATTAAATTTAACAGCAGTGACTTATTTTTTCTATTAGTTCAAGTATTAGATCTGGATGCCATATTCCATTTTGTTGTTATGTATATTTTAACTCGAATACATTCTTGTTTATAAAATTTCATTTAAGAAACTTCTAAATAACAGGTCTGACAATAGGAAGACGAGAAATGAAACCATTGAAAATTATTTACACATTCATTTCACATTTATTTCATAAATGATGAAATATTATAATTTATACGTCGGATGAAATTAATACACAAATAATAGATAGAAAAAAAACATACACAAAAGCATACGTTACGTGACCTGTGGTTGCCAATGAATAACAAAATTATCTTGAAGATAATAACGTGTTAAAATTCCTCAAAATGTCTGCTTGTCTAAATTCATTAGTTTTGACATCACAAAAACGTCAAAGTTTGTGAACAAATGCGTTTTCTTTTAACTTAAGTCAGAACAATAACATATTGATTATATTGATAAGGACAAAATAAGCAAGTATCGAATTTAAGAAGGACATAAATTTTCATTCTCTTTCGATGTGTGTTAACGCCATATAACTGATTTCTACTACAAGCTACAAGAAATAACTTAGTACAAGTACATTTATGCTCAACTTCATATAACGTAACAAATAACGTATGGCCAAAATGCTCACGATGTTGTTTTCATCTTGCTACACTCGTGGTCTCTATCGCCGCAATCTTATTTCTGCGCCTGATGATGAGATAAATGCAAAGGTTCAAACAGCCGCCGATGTTGGAAAATATTGTCCCAGCATGAATCAATGCCTGTGGTACGTTGACATCTATAAGTGTCCAGATACCTGACGGACCTAACGGCCACCATTGAATTATGAATGCTACAACAAACATTGACATGTTTTTAGCAGCTCTTTTTGACTTGTTAGCAGTATTCTCTGTTTGTATATCTTGATGAAGACCGCTAGTATCTTGTTTGATCTTCCTCCATGTGATAATATACAGACCACTGTTTAAGGTGAGGAAAATTAGAAGAGGAACTGTTGTTAAGACGATGTTAGCTGTACCACCATTAACTCCATCAAAAAGACAACTGAAAAAGTAGTTGAATTCAAGAATCAAATCAATATATTTTGAACTATAGGTGTTTCACCGATATCAGTAAGTTATTTCTGCCACATTTTTTTTCTTTCTGAATTCTGTATGTGTGATTATTAGAGAGTTACTGTCGAATTTTTAGAACATCTCTACCATAAAAGTAAATATAACAATCAGATTTGCAGCATCTTAACAATTATTTAATGTATAATGATATAGACATCATGCAAAACTATTTAAATGCAAGAAATGTAGAAATAAAAATTTCTTTTGAGGTTTTGTAGTCCTTGATTTTAGCAACAACAATTCATTCCTTTTTTCCTCTTTTTTTCCTTTATCATCGATTTTCAATCAAAAAGTTAAATGAGAACGAAAAAACTTAAGTACATAGGGAAGTATGTACATAGGGAAACATACTGTTTACCCACTTTTAATTTTGTACTACATGTATTATCTGTCATCATGAAAATTTCAAACCTTTCGGAAAGTCACATCAATGTTAATTAAGGTGTAATCTTTATATATCGTTCTCACTAGTACAAACAATCAATCAAAAAAGATAAAAGAGTGGGAAATCAAAAGGAAAAATGACTTACAATGACCCGGCAGGTCCAAACTGTTTGAAAGCCCCTGCGATCGAGGCACAAACAAACGGGATTCCAAAAGTCCATGTCAGAAGTTTCCAATCATATTTGCCGAATATAAGTTGTTTCTTGAAAACCATAATCATAAACGCGTTAATTGCCACAACATTTGACATCAAGATTTGTGAAGAGATGAACTCTACCAGCAAAAACCCATACAAGTCGCAAAGTTCTTTCGGTCGCACATGCTCCTTCGTGACGACATAGTGAATATGGTCCATGCTGTGAACTATATTAAATCCTCCGTCGCAAATTGCCATGTAGACGACAAAACGATTACTTTTTGACCATGTGAAGAATTTTCTAAAATTTCCATGCTTGAATACAAAGGTTAATGTAATAATGGCACAACTAAAACTGCATAATATACAGACAAGCGCGGGGATATGTATATAATAAAATGATCCGTTAGATAAACCATACACCGGTAAGTCATACCCACTTCTTAATCCTGGTTTTTCACTCTTACTTGAATTTTCATTCATTTTAGAATATCTTCTTAGAAGATTATTGTTAATGTTGTATAATATGCGGTGTCAGTTTCACAGAATAAGCTAAATTAAGCAACAACTTTTATTTATCGAAGCTACTACATTAATAACGCGACGCATTTATATATGTAAATATGTTAGCCAGTTGAATGAATTCACAATGATAAACATTAAAATTTTAAAGAGCAACAAATAAACTCTTACTGATACTACATATTCTGTTAGGAGACAATCTAACAAGTGTAGAATATGACCCTTTTACTTCGGCCAGAATGGTATAATGGACAATGTTGAAGACTTGATTTGTTCGGACTGTACTGGACGGTACTGGTAAATGCCAGCTACTATCTCCACACCTAGATTTTTTAGGGTAATCTAAAATAACTTGTGTATGCGTTAGAATTTACCGATAATTTAGTACATGTACTGTACACATGCTGTATATTTAGAAAGCATGGAACTTTTGCTTTTACGAGAATAACGTTAGATTTACAAATAAGTTAACAACAATTTAACCTGTGAGTATCCTTTATTACTTATTAATATTAATTACATTTTAACAGTTATAACTTATTAATAAGTATCTATTACTTCATTTTTAATATTTATAGTTTCGTAGTTATTTCCACGTGTGTTCTAGGCAGGCCTTGCTCCTTTGAAACCGTTGTTGCCCGTAAGGGCCTTAATTAATACCCAAATGGGCATTAGTAAAACTGGAAACACATTAAAGATTTAAGCAACGGCAACTTTATTTTTAATTAAACATTTCCGTAGTTTTGAAATGTTGTTTAACGACATGAAGCTTTTAAAACATCAATAACTTTTAAGACAGGTAATGTTGGTCATTTTAGGTTAGGTTTCACTTTTTACCAAAGCTGTCATGGTCATATGGCAAATTTTAAGTTTAACAAGTTAGAATGTGCTCCGTATCCCTCCCTTCCTTAAGTATATGTGTTCAGTACACTGTGTTCCGTAGCATTTCAACTTGATGAAAAAATGCTAAAACAGCACTGCATTAATGTAAAACACAAACAAGGGTAATCATAAAAAAAATCATATATTTATCTATAAAACAGTGAGAAAAAACAGTCCCAAGTGTTCTCGTAAAAAAGGTAAAATATAAATTTCGAGAAAAAAACACTAAAATTATCAAAAAAAGCAAATTTTCATACAATTTTTTCAGATTTTATTCAGAATAACAGAAAATGTGTGTGTATAGTTCCTTTAAAATAACAGTGTGTCCTGTACCATAACTTTATGAAAATATGCTAAACATCACTGTATTCACTATATATATTGGACTTAGTAAATCTATAAGAAACTAATGTTCGTGAAGTTGGCAGCCTAACAGCCTGAAGCTGGCAGCCTAGCAGTCTGAAGTTGGCAGCCTAGCAACCTTAAGACAACTAAGATTAGTACAAACTTGAAAACGGTCAGAAATACATCAGTAGCACTTTCTTAGATATTTCCACGCCTTTTTTCAATATCGTGATCTTTATTTTTTATGATATTATTCCATCTTATTTGGGAAAAATAGTTTAAGACCAATTTTTAAACCAAAATTAATGCTTAAATCCTAGCATTTTATTGTCATACAAATACCTTTCAATGTCTTGTACTAAGTATTAAATAACTCTTCTTTTTTCTTATACCAACATTTGTTTAAATCGACTGAAAATCATGATATATTGTTTGATAAGCAAAATGATTTAAGAAAGGCAGAAGTACAATTGGTCACGTTCTTTCACTTACCAACATTATTGAAGCAATAAAAGGTTGAACACTACTTTCTGTGCTTTTCGTTAACAAGAAAACCTATTATATCATTGATAGAAATTAACTTTAAAGATATACTATGCTCAAATTTGATATAAAAATATTGATAATTGCTACACAGTCTCTTTGTAAATATGAAATAAACATGTTTTGACTTCACACAAAGTTAATATGTCATGTTTAAAACTCTACACACATAGGTCGTCACAATATGAATATATTGTGTTGTTAAAAAAGTGGCAAGTTTTTCAAAGAAAAGACCAGCTTTACTTGTCCTGTAATAGAGAACGTGATTTCAAATATAGTTTATTAATCATTTTTCATTTAAATCAGACATATTCAGTAAGAATTTCATAGGTTTTAATAAATTTTTTCGATTAAAATATTTTCCTCAAAGGTGAGCATAGTATTTAAAATTTAAAGTTAAATGATCGTAGGGTTGATGGCAATATGTTCTTACCATCAATCAAGGTCATCTTATGTAAGACTAATTGGCTTAAGAACCTTCATCGTGGCTAACGACAAGGTTGTTTATTTTCTCCCTTGCTTTTTAATATTTAACAGGGAAATGGCAAATGTCACAGCTAATACTCTCTTTCACATTCTTTAACTTCACATAATTTATAAGTAAGGGGTTATTGTATCAATACCGATAAAAAATTAATTGTTCCTTGTCCGTCACATTTAAAATTTGTCGTCAAAGGTTCTTAAAAGCTGAGTATTGTTGGCGGCTTTCCGTGTCAAAGTGAACGTCAATTTCGGTTCTCTTATTTCTCTATTTATTTATTTATTTATTTATTTACTTTTGTAAGATAATTATTTAGAAAACTATATTAGCTTCATAGTAAGTTGCTGTGGTTTTATTATTCTTGTGTTTGAAGGTAGTTGATACATTGTAATTGCATTTCATAAACAGTATATTCTCAATTACATTACGTGTGTCAATAATTCTTATAGTTTACAATTCTCTCAGATATTTCAGATGTTAAAAAAAATAAAGCAGAATATATCACTTTAAAATCCTGATTACTTCTTAGAAGTTTTGAAAATATACCACTACAAATGTTTTAGATATGATGCTTTGAATAATACTTAAATCTCTTATAATACAATATTAAATGGCATTGTAGCACATTAAATGTGTTGAGTTCACGATAATGCTATAAGTACAATGAGACGCAAATAAGATAACACAAACAATAATGTAAACAGTAATGTATTTTATGATGATTATAATTGCTATAACTTAATTCTAAAGTAGTTAATGATCGAATAGCATACAATACATAATTCAGAATTATAAATTGAATTCTTTATGATGATTATAAACATGCAAATTTGTCTTTTGAATCTTATGCAATAAAACTAAAATATTGCCTTATAGACTATAATATAAAGTCAATTTGTTAACATCACATTAAAGCATACATATATATTTTATTTATCTATTTTCATTTGACATCAAAGGCACTCATTAAATCACGATTTTATGAATAATATATGCTTTTAATTTTTCTCCAAAGGGAATTTCATTTTACTGAAATGACGTATATGTGTACTCTGTAAAGAGGAAATAAAATATGTGATGACAATAAAATGGTTAGTAATATTACTTTATAATAGTATCATTCAATTTCTGAAGTATTTTAGAGGATGTAAATGACAATAATAATATTACAGATTTATTAAAGTCACCATATTTCATGTGAGAAAGATGAAGGGAATGTTTGTTGTGATATGTTATAAGATTCATATGTACACTTGTAGCAACCTTAACCATTTACAAAGAGTTTCAAACAATAAATTACTTTGCCATTCGTACAGGTATATTATATATCAATAAAAACATATTCCAATATTTTATCAATGGTTTATCAAATTTTACATTTACATTACAAACAAATACGATAAGTTGCTTTGCTTTATGTTTTAACTATATTTTAATGTAATGAAGTTTCAAGATTTTATGTTTTTGAAATAGAAAATAAGCAAAATTAATATTTTGCAAAAATATCTTGCACGTCTTCCTTAATTAAATAAAATTACAACATATGAAATGATTAATCGCACATAGCATTCAACAATTCATGAAAGCCAAATCTTTATTGAGAGCAGTAATGGCAAACGTATACAAAACTTACATATATTTTTAAAACTTTTAAAACTGTTTGCTGATGAAACTGTTTTCACATATAAAGAAATGTACAAATATCAAAAATAAACTGGGGGAATATCTTTGAACCATTACAAGCCCGCTGTTATGATATTTCAAACAATTTCCCCAAACAGTATCTTCATTTTACATCATAAATCCTTTGTCTGAGCTAGCGTTCACATTTTTCAACAACTTGTAATTGAATATTCTTGATAAAAATGTTAAATCCATTTATTCATATAAGGACTCCACTGAGGTGGGTTTTTGTTGTTTTTTTTTTTTTTTTTTTTTTTTTTTTTACTTGACAGGATTGGAGATATTTGTCCAATGTTTATGTAAAATTTGATAAATGTTTAGACCTGTATCTTTTTGCAAGTTTTCAGAACGTTTACTCTCCCCGTTTTTCCAGAATTATCATTTTTTATTATGCAATATAACCCAAAAATAAAAAAAGAGTTGCAACGCTTTTCACTCAAACCGGGCTGAGAAATGCACACAAATCGATTTTCAATTTAATTCTGAGCATATTAACCTTTGCAGATTTTTGCAAATTTTTCCATTTTAAGTGCTTCCATTGATTTATGTAAGGATATTAGATTTTATAGTTTTAAAGTTCTTTTAACTTTGGGTCTGAAATATCGGTCTTTCACAAAGGGAATGAAAAATTTATTAATTAAGTATTGTAGTGCTGCCGTCTATGTACTATGGAGAGTTCCCCTTCTTGTTTTACGTCAGATAAGTGTTGTTAAGTTTTTGTTTAAAACAATAAAGAAACCTGATTTAGTTTTAGCTCTTTAATTAGCTCTCTCGAATATTGCTACAGTCATGTTGTCGTTGACGTTGACGTTGCCGTTGCCGATGCCGATGTTATTGCATTGAATATTGCTTTAAACACTTTGTCTCCATCTAAAGGTTCACTGCATTGGACAAAACGCATCATTGTAGTGTAAGAGCTGATGCAATTTGTCGTCATCTATTTATCTTTTTATCCTGAACAGTATAAAACGAGTATTATTAGGGACGTAATGGAATTTCCGTGTCGTAACGCTTCCGTTTAACTTCA